CTTTTTCTGTAATCTATTTTTCAAATTCAAAGTAAAATTGAATTACAAGATCCTGATGGTCTATGACCCTTCCAGCTGTTCAAGCTCAGAAATAGGGCTGTCTAAACATGGTTTAGGAGAAAAAACAGTCCATCAAGAAGTCTCCCCAAAACAAGGAGCCATTTCACTATGAATCCCCATACTATGTGTCAAGACTCATCATGCCTGCAGGCACCAAACAAGAAAGGTCCACCAGGCTCCTTTCTGTCACATAGAAGAAGGGGAAATTGTTCTAACTGCAGGGCAAACCCTTGTGTCCTACTGGAAAGTCCCCTCAGGCTGATGCTCCTTGGGCCTTTTGCAAGAATGTTTGTGTTTCAGATCAGTTTCAATTCTTTTTCTGTAATCTATTTTTCAAATTCAAAGTAAAATTGAATTACAAGATCCTGATGGTCTATGACCCTTCCAGCTGTTCAAGCTCAGAAATAGGGCTGTCTAAACATGGTTTAGGAGAAAAAACAGTCCATCAAGAAGTCTCCCCAAAACAAGGAGCCATTTCACTATGAATCCCCATACTATGTGTCAAGACTCATCATGCCTGCAGGCACCAAACAAGAAAGGTCCACCAGGCTCCTTTCTGTCACATAGAAGAAGGGGAAATTAGACAGGAGAGAAAACTAGCAAAACAGGGAAGGCTCACAAACAGCACAAGCTATTCCTGGCCCTGTTCTCTTCAGCTGTACTTCAGGCACAAGTCAGGCTTGTTATTCCCTACTTACATGACTGCCCCTCCAAAAACCAGCAGAATGCACCAATTCAGCAGTTGGCTCTACGTGAAACCCTGCTGGGACTCCCACATAACTGGGCTTGGTGAGTCACCTTCAAAAGCATGTCAAAGTTTATAATTAAGGCTGTAGTTTATTAACAATGTACCTCTTATTCAAACTAAGATATAAAAGGTATATCAATAAATATATTACACTGCCTGTTTTGGGAGTCTCAGATAAATAAAACTACCAAGTTTTTTAATGTATGATCAGGTGACAGAGCCATACCCTCAGGCAAACCTGGACCAAGCTTAACATGACTATCTCCTTTTCCAAACCTATACCTTCACTGCAAAGGTCCCAGCTACAATTCTCCAGGCTGTGATCACAGACAACCAATCTAGATTATAATTGTCTTTTCCAGTACAAAGTTACTAAATATCTGCCAATTTAACAGATGTATGGCAGCACACTATGTTTTTCTTTTTTTTTTAATATGTACTAGAAAAGCATTCAACACACTTTTCAATCCAACAGGAGGATCTTAAGTCACCCAGTGCTGCTTTATTATGTCTTACGCACAGCTTCAGTCTTGATTCAAGCCTCAAAGTAAGAGAGGAAAATCCCACTCCCTCCAAACAGATCACTGAATATCTCCAAATTAATCTATTAGCAGCATTCCTTCTAAAGATCCACCAGGCACAAAACATGCAAGGAGTTTTGACAGAGTTCGAGGAAGACATGACTAGAAAAGCTGTATTGTAACAAAAGATAAAAACACAGCACATTCACTGATACCACTCTTAATAACTCTCCAGAAGTCTGATAGTTGACTCTGTTCACTTGAGGCTCTGTCTCCTTACACAGCTTATTCCACATGAGTGGGGTGGAAGTAGCTAGAAAAGGAACCTACTCAACATCAGTGCTTCTTACGTCCTACTCAGTATTCTTTTAGAGGATAAACAGAAAAAAACCCTAAACAAAACCCCCAAATAAAGCAAAACAAAAAGCCACACAAACAAACAAAAAAAAAAAACAATCAAAAAACCCCCAATACAAACATTTTGAAGTCATTATCTTCCTGGAAAACTGCATTAAAAAATTAATAAATAAAAAGGGAGAACTTTGGCATGGGCAAACCAAATAGTTATTTAGTACTTCTAGCACAACAGCTTTGTTACACACATGTGGGTACATACCCTTCCTATCTCCTTCAGATGAAAACTGGAAAGTGAAATAGAAGGTACAAAAATGTTGGACCACAATCTCTTACTTTTCCTCAGCTCTGAAGCCTCAAATTCCACTCTAGATCATGCCATGACAAGTCTAGCTGTGCCAGAAGAAACAAGGCCTAAGGAAACATCTAGTCAAACATCACAAATGGTTGTTATGCCAAGTCTGTTCCTTGTAAATATCATTACATCTTATGGGTTCCTCATAGCACTACTTTTCTGGTAGAGGCCACCAAGTTTACCAAAACAGTCAGGTTCCTCTTGGAATATGCAAAGCATAACACTAGAGAGGAACATGACCTTTCAGACATGCATTCTCACACAGACAAAGAAAATGGAAACAAAAAAATTAAAACACCAAGCTAGGTCATCCTTACTACACTTCAGAGACTATCTGCCTTCAGAAAGCAAATTCAAAACACAGAAGTCACCAGAGTACACCACAAGCACTAGCTGAAGTTCCAAAACCAGATTGCTTTGTTCTGCTGGTATTTTTCACCTTGGATTGCTTCTATACCACTTCTGATTCCAGGCCCTTACCTTACTTCCCAGTTCTCTGCTAGAAATGTTTTCTATCCTTAAGCAGCATGGGTTTTCTTTTTTTTACCTTAAGCAAAGTATTAAAAGCAGCTTCTACCCCCAAGGTTAAAACCTTTCCCTCCCTCTGCAGAGCTAAACTTTTGTCCCAGCTTTAAACCAAAGCATTACACTATGTGAGGCAATATAATGGTCTCTCCCAGCACATAACTCATACGAAAATGAATGGCAAAACAGCTAAATAGGAAGCCATAATTCAGTAACTCCAGGTTCCTTACCTCTCACCAACTGAATCTGCAGATGCAGGGTACGGGGAAAACACAAATCGCTACAGCTGAAGACCGCTAGTGCCATCTGGAGGCCACCCAGAACAGGCCACCTAAAGTTCTACCAGCCTCTGCTCACCTTGAGTGAGCCTTGTCCTCCAAAGACGGCTTGCCAGCACTTGCAGCATGAACATACCAGCTGAACAGCCACAGTAGATGGGGAATGCTTAACCATAATTAAAGATAATGTCTGCAATAAACGTACAGCTATCATGTGAGAGCATTGAACTGCAAGTCTTTAGCCACAGCTGACACTGCTCAGTGGGTTGCTGAAGTTTAGTAACAGAACCAGAGCTACTCTCCACAGCCCAGAGACATCTCTCTTGGAAGAGAGACAACAGCTCATTATTTTCATTTCCTCCACACCTCTTCCATAGTTGTACTGGTAGAGTAGACCATACCACAAAGCAGCATTAAGATACCTAATGCCACATTCAGTCTCCATATACTATCTACCTCTCACAGAAAGCTGAAGGATGAGATGAAATTTGAAAGAAAGGAAAACTTTGATTAGTAATACTGTGGTGTCCTGTGGATATATATTCTACGTGTCATGTGTCAAGACCATGTACACCAGATTTGATTGTAACTTAAACAAATGGAATCTAAACACACATAAAGCTGCTCAGGATTTCAGAACACTGAAAGGTGATTTGCAAGTATTGCTGCCAGATGTGCATTGAGAAGGTGGGCATGGAAGACAGAGTACAGAACTGTTGAGACTGGTGTTTCTGAATGGATACCCAGATATGGACTTCCACACTCTTACCTTCGAGCAAAATATATTCTCCACTGGCAAAAATGCACACTTACCCTCAGAGTAGAACACTTGTGTTTATACAGACGTATTTTTCCAGAAGTAAACTCCTTTGTTACAAGATCAGCATAATCACCTTTAAGACAGTAGTGATGGTGCAAATCCTATTTTTGAAGGCCTGCTATGTATTGCCTATTCTGAGAACATGCTGGAATTCTATGCTACCTTGTTTCCCTCTTCACTTTCCAAAAACATGCAATTATTAGCAGCTAACAGTTAAGCTGCTAGTTCCCAAGAGAAAAGTCTTGCATGAGTGGCATGTTTAAGGCTTGCTTTCTAAAGTGAAAATAGTTGTCAAGTTTTCCACTTATTGAAGACGAGCTTCCCCTTTCTGCCTCCTTTTAGGGAAAAAATGTGTTCACATTATCTTTGCAGGTAGAGGCACATCATAACACACCTGAAGAGTATTCATCAATTTAATGGATATTTCTTGTGGGATCATTATTTATGTATTCTTTGGGATTCATCATCTTCTTGAGAAAGAATTTGGATTCAGTATCTACCCAAGTGAGAGCCATGTCAGGCATGAATCCTAAAGATATTCTGAACACATCATATCTGCTTGAAAGAAAGATACGGCATTACTTAAAACTGTTCCTGACAGTTGTGTGGTGCTCTTTTCTCAAACATCAGTACAGTTAAAATTCTGATCTGTCGGGAATTCAGAAGGGTGACTGCTTCAAATCCATTAGTTACTACGGACAAATATTTTGCTAAACTTCTGGGACAAAGAGAACAGGTATTTTAGGCAGACAAGTATTGATGCTAGGTGTCTCATGACTTACATGCAAATGAAAATTGTTACCTTGCAGGGTAAAAACAGTGAACTAGCTTAAAACCACTTAGTAGATACTGCAGAAAATACAAATGCTAACCTAAAATTTAGAAGAGTCATTGAAATGAATGAGTCACTGAGCTCACTCATTAACAGGTCTGCAACTACTTTTTTTTAGGACAAATTGGAGAAAGCTTGGACTCCCTTCCCTCAGAGAATGGAGAAGAGGCACAAAGGTATCAACAATCTCAAGTTTCAAGAAGAACTCAGCCTTGAGAATGAACGTGCCAGTGACAATCTGTTTGGCCATTTAACCCTTGGGAGTTAAAAACTTCTTTTATTAATTACATATAAAAACAATAAAATCCCTCAGTGAAAAACCCTATAATCTACATGAAGAAACCTGATGGGGCACGGCATGATGAAGTATCATCTACTTAAAGTCTGCAGAATTGCCTAATTGGCGCTTTCCTCATTTTACTATTGTTTCCAAAGTAGAGAGGCAAGCCAAGAAGTGTCTGGATCAGCAAGTGCAGGTACACCAAAAAACAAAGACTTCTCCCATACCTGGCCAATCCTTCCTCGTAGAGATAGACAACAAGGGGATCATAAGATGTAACCAGAACATAGAGACGCACATCGAACTTGAAATCTGAAATACAGTTGTCAAGAGTCAGTGACTGCAAACTTCTTTCAGATGTCATAACTACTTGAGGAATTTCAACAGACTCTGAGAGCAATAAACAATTATCTGCTGCTGACATAGGTGCCTGAACCTATCCCAGTTGTAAGGCTTCCAGGCTTTAATGAATTCTCTAGTTACATTTGTCTGAGGCTAGACCAAGCTAGACCATGCACAGATCCTCAGATGCAAGGCTGGGGGGAGACAAGCAATTCCTAAGCACACTCACCATCTATGAGCAAGGGATTGCTGATGTAACGAGACACCAAGATGTTGTCTTCCACTACAATTTGGTTTGGCTGCAAAAGAACAGAGAATTTAAGAGTGAGAAAACAGCAGATGTAAGGAATAAGAAGAAATTAGATCAAATCCACCATTTTTTCCTGCCTTTCCCTCCTAAAGGAGGTTTGTACAGCCACCCTGTACCAACAACTATGTCTGGGGAAGGAAGAAATAAAACCAAAATGAAAAAAACACAACTGTCACAGCATATGCCACAGTCAAGACTGCCACCGTACACAGAGTATCACCATACACTATCAGAAGACTTACCACCCATACAGAGTAACACCTTACCACATCAGAAGGCTTCAGGCATCTACCCTTCTTGTTCTTTAGCCCAGCCTTTTACACCCCTCATGTTCATGCATTGCACTGTGTGCCCTCTGCTCCCTTTGGTGGTTGGTCAGTGCCCCTGGGCACTCCAAGGCTCATTGCTATCAGTGCTGCTCACAGCTGTGCCCACTGGGGATGAGGCTGGTCACAGCCCCACTCCCAATTACCACAAACTGTGTACCTACACATAACTATGAGTCACAACACATTTAAGGTAATTAGATCCTAAAGAGAATGATTGCATTGCCAAAAAACCTGCTCATTGAATTTTCCAGTAAAATACTCAGAGGCATAGAGATTAACAGCCACATGGTAAATGATGTAAAATAGGCAGAGAAAAAAAACCCACACCTAAGGAGTAATTGTTACTCTGTTTGCTCCTCAAAGGTTTAACCAAACACATGGAGAAGGGGTTTAAAAGATCCAGGATGGAGTATGTAACTACAGATGGTGAGGAAACCACAAGCGCAGAAAACTACTCAACTTGTGATCTTTATAACAACATCCTGGGCTGGTATCCAACCTTTTTGCCTACCTTATACTGAGTCTCAGCTCACAGCAGGAGCTCCTGTACCCAAAAGAAGCTACGCTTGTAGGTAAGAACAGAAAACTCAAACTATGACAAATACATGTCACAAAGTTATGGGATCTGTTGAAAAAGCTTTTACTTTTTGCTGTATGCAAGGCTCTCTTGTAACCAGTTTCTTGCCTTCAGCTTGCAAAAGAGGCGAGAGAATCACAGGATTCTGCCATTATTCAATGTTGTATCTATTCAGCCACAACACCAGCATGATGAGTGGAAAACCTAAGCATATAAAATGCTTATATAAAATGTGAGAGAACTTCCCTCAGAATATCACACAAAAGTGACACACTGTTCTATATGGATCAGGGAAATGCAAAGGTTATTTATTTGTTTGGAGGGGTTATCATTGTTTTCAAAAACTTTTGTGATGAGATACTAAAAGACACTCTTTTAATGGCATCACACTGAAGGAAACTGGCCTGTGGGCCAAACTAGCTGCAGTGTTTCTCAAACAGAAATACACAAAGGGATATTGGTCCCAGAAGGGTATTTTCCCCAGGTCATGGCCAACTGCCATGTGAGCCTGAGCTCATTCCTCCCTTTCAAGCAAAGAAAAAACTGAGTGTAGCTCTGGAAATACTTACCTCATACACTTGGCGAACTGCTCCCTTATTTTATGGGAAATGATTCAAGTAGAAAACAGATGAGGCAGCATGACCCCTTCAGTGCAGGGAAGGCTAAAGGGGTTTGAATGAGTGAAAACAAAATGACTCAACAGTCATTTTGCTGTTGAGTATATTTATTGGAATCCCCTCATGTGTTTGGCTCCAGTTCAGATGTATTTGTCACCTATGACAACCTAGCTCCCTGCAAAGCCCACAAAGAGCAAAAGGCACTACAACCTGCACATTGATTTCAAAGAACTATCCCCATTACACCCCAGGAAGGACACACTGGCCTTTAGATAACACAAGCTTTAAGATTGATACACTTCCTCTCTATCAATGTTCATTTAAATTGGTCTTTTTCATGGGGGAGTGTGAGACAAGGGGTCTGTTTGAGGACTGTTTAGGTCACACAGGGAAACAACTAAGGAGAGTTCTGGAAATCTGCACAAGGTCAGCCTACTATCAGCCACAAACAGAGCATGAGGCAGCACAGCTTCCCAAACTGTCTCAGGGAGTATAAACTTGCTCCTAATAAGCTAAGACTTGAAGGTAAATTGCAAGATGAGCTCAGCATATAAAGAGATAGACTGCTTTTGGTTACACAGCACAGGCCCAGGCAGGCCTTCCAAGCTGCTCAGGGCTGTTGAATTGCTCACCAATATACAGCTGAAATTGAGAGTAAGGCCAGTGTCCAGTTAGATGCCTCCATGCCTCTCTTGTCTGGAAGCCAACATAGTTTTGAAGACACTGTTACTGAAGAGGAGTCCTTTTAGTGAACACTTACATTATTTATCAGGTAGACACCTCGACCTCTGGAAGAGGCCACAGGCTTCACTATCCATGGGCCTCTGTCCTTAGAATAGGTATCTGGTTAAAAGAAAACAGCACAAGTCTGCAACATTTTCCATTTTGCTTATTAACAGGGGAGCAAGAATCAAGAATGTTGCCTACAGTAAATGCTTTTGAGAACTCCACAAGGAGATCAAAGTCTGCTTTTCCAGTGTGCTATTTCACCCCTTTGGAATCATTGCAATTCTTACAGCCCTTCCCTGAAGCCCCCCACAGTGCTCTGACAGATTCATTCTTCTGTCCTATGCCTCCTTTTGGCACTTCTTACTTCAGTACTCACAGGCATTAAGCAGCAATATTGTGAAGCTGATCATCAACAACACTGTGCATATAAAAACTCCTCCATTTTGGAGTCTTAACCCCTCATCATCTTTTTGGAAAATTACACAGGCATGGAGTAAACAGCAGAGTAGAAATTACGTAAAGAAATCATGTGGACCTTTTCTACTGTCTTCCCAGCTTCCTCTAATTTTGTTACCTTAACCACTAGGTAACAAAACCTTAACCAGCATGATCAAAAGGCTAGGATATTAAAAATAATTCCCTTCCCCCCACATCCCATCATTTTGGTTTATGTCTGGGCATCATCAACCATTCACTTACTGCAGAACTCCTGGTACTCTGTTGGGAGGATAAAGGTCTGAGGTAAGATATGGAATGTCTTGAAGCCATGGGCGAGCTGCATTCGGCAGACATTCTTGTACAGTCTGTCCTTTCGTGTCAGTTCATATGACCTGCAGTCCCAAAACAAGAGACTATCTATTTATTCCCCAACATTACAGCAACATTTTGTCCTAGTTACTGAAGTATCTGTAGCTTTGCTAGGTGTCTAAGCCCTAACTTGTCAGATGTCTAAACCCTAACTGACTCTCAAGCTTTACTGCCTCTACCTTATGGCTGTATTAATATCCTTCGTGGCACTTCTTGCAATTCCCAAGACAGACTGAAGCAATCTGTTATAAAGGTGGTTATAAACTAACTGGTTATAAAGTGGTATATAAACTTTAGCTCGGATATAGGACCATCCCTCTAACTAAAAACTCAAGTCACAAATAATTTACCATCAAATAAAGAAAATAAAATTAAAAATCCAATATTTGGGCTAAATACAACATCTTCATTGATATATTATTCCCTGAAAACCTCAAAGACCATTAAGAATAAAGACAAAATGTGTCAGTGGCCCTATCTGTTGGGATTTTAAAGTACCACATATGGTCTATTTTTTGGGGGGCATCTATGTTCAGATTTTTGCAAATCACCACAAGTATGTTCAACAAAATATGGTATCAAGGCCTTACCTAGGGAAATGGTTTACTTTCTGAATATCTGTAAGGGAACGCAGCAAGCAGGGCTTCAAGTGTGATCCTGTCCACATGAGGTTATAATCACTGCTATTAGGGTGAACCTAAAAAGCAGCATAAAAACACCACATACAAAAACACTGAACTAATGAAAAGCAATACCACTTTGTCCCTAGATCCACAAGGCCAAAGCAACTCTAGTCTAAGACAGTCTCCTCTACTGTCTCTAATATAAGGGCAACTCCTGCCAAACCGCGACCCTAAGGTATTCCCATGCTGGGAAATAACCATGTCAGATTTTTTAAATGAACTTGTGAGACTGTTATTTTCATAGATGGTTTAAACATAGTTTGTAAAGCAGTTTTAATCTCTTCAGGAAACTTGTCAGATCAATTCCTTAAGCTGCTGTTATTCTGAAAAAAAATCAACCCTATACATCTCTGAAATTATCATTAGCTGCATACAGGACACTCTTTAGAGTAAGACAGGCGCTAGAAGAGAAGTGTGAAATACTACATCAATACTTCTGAAAGCTTGTAAAGGCTGAAAAATTAAATCCTTCAGATTTTCTCAAGGGTGTGATGCTTTAAAAGCATCACATGACCAAACTTCAGCATTTCTTTTCTGCTATTTTTGAAGGCTTAAGACTAATAGGCTCTCCTCTGAGGGAGCAAAATGACATTTTCAGTCTGACTAGCACAGTACATTAAAAGGCAAAACAAAAAACCTCAAAGGAAGCTGCTTCCACAGCAACTTCCTGGTTCTAACCCTGCAGAATTTAAAAAAAAAAAACCACAAAAAATCCAAAACCATCATCATCCCCTCCCAGCCCAGCACAAAATCAGACTAGAGGTTTGCTGCATTCACCTCGTGGAATCCATGGGCAGTCAGAATGCTCCGAACCAGCCGGCTGTCTGTCCGCACAATCTTATAGGACATGCGGAAGCGCTCTGTGAGGAGGCAAAGAGACACAGGATTAGAGTCTGCACCTGGGAAAATAAACTAAAGTCATGCTACCAAAGAAAAGGACTCAGACAGTACAGCTGCACTTAATTCACAGAGAATAGCAGCACATAACAGGCAAAGGGAGATAGGAAATGCCAACATCAGCATCACTGAACTGATTCAAATCAGCCCTTAGTGATAATGTAGTAACATCATAGAACCCCATCATACAAAAATAAGGCACAGGACAGCCTAAAAAATACCCAGATTATTTTTTAAAAACGTTTCACTACATAGACTGCTTTATAACACTCCAAACATTATTTCACCTTTCTTCTCCAGTCAATATTGCTATTTCTAGCTAAAATTAATTATGTCTAATGCCCCTCCTTGATATGGCTTGCTTATGTGATCACTTTTTAGATCCTGAAAACCCAAAAGAAGGCACTGAATTTTTGTTTACATCTCATTCACCTGTACCAGTCTTCCAACAAATAACTGCAAATACAGTAAGAAATTAAGTAAATAGTACAAGGAAATAAAAACTCACTATGGAAGTAGAAATTAATACAAACAAAGGCAATAAGCAGCCCCAGAGGTATAAGATAAAACAAAAACAAGCAGGAAGACTAGAGGTCAGTCACAATATAAAAGGATGTGGCAATTCAAAAAAAGAGTTCAAAGACAGTAGAGAAAGAAATTGCAATGCTAGAATATAGAACTGCCTAGAAAAGGCAGTTTACAAGTGTGTTCAAGCTGAGAATAAAAGGGTGAAGATTAGATTAAACTTCAGGAAATATGTTCTACCAACAAAAGTAAATCAAAAAAGCAAGAAGCATCATAATCAGGAACAAGACAAAGCTAGAGGAAATTTAACAAGTTGCATTATTCAGCAGTAAACTTGTTAAACTGAGTAAGAAAAAGCAGAAGAGACCTCACGCTCCAGTAAAAATGCGAGTTACAATTACCATCAGCTTCTGGCACGATCCAAGTACGTTTGTAACTCACATGAAAAGGATCAGGAGTTTCCACATATAAAACACCTTCTCCACCCCTTACCCCAATGAGCCAGAAGCATTTCTGCTTGGATAGAATATTAGAAATGAAAGCATCAATTACCTAAGAAAGAAAAAAGCAAGAGAAGAAAGAAGTGTCAGCACCTTCACAAAAGGAAGCTGAGTACATTTTAGCTTTTCTCCAACTCAGCACACCCAGAACAAGCTCCCAGCTGTACACACCCACAAGCACTAACTTTTCAAATCCAAAATGACTGTTTATAACAACCCAGACTCTTTAGAGGCTCTCCCTTACTTGACAATAGACAGGTTTGGTCTCTCAAGTGCTGCCAGGAAAACCATTTTGTTTATGGCCTTCTAGGGGTTGTGAGGCTGTAGACTCAGATTGGTTACTGCAGCTTATTAATCATTCAACTGTGAGGCTAGCTGCTTTATTTCCCAGTGAAATGCTCACAAAACTCACTGCAATTATTGTTTTTAAGGTCTTAGCAATGTTGAATTTGTATTCTGGTTCTAAGCTCTAGCATGGCCTCCAAGTTCAATTCAACCAACGGATTAAGCACTTCTGAATATCTCTGTGGTCAGAGACTAGGGAGGATTCTAATTGCCTACTATGTGCTCTTCCCAACACAAAGTGAAGGGACCATCAGGTAAGAGACTTTTACCTCACGCCTTCATGTGAAAAGCTGGCACTAGTAGCACCCACCTCCAATGAGACGGAGGTAGCTGTCCTTAGCCAGAATGGCTTCAGCATGAAACACCAAGACAGGGACACGCCTGCAGCCACCACCTGTCCACTTGATACATGGATGGCCCCTGAAATGACAAGACAGTCAGTATAAGAAACTGCTGAGCCTCATACATGCAGCAGTTAGTTACAACAATGACACAGCAATTCTCTGTACTTACCCACCTAGCCTGTGGACAGCACACAAGCAAACACACTGGGGAAAATAGTGGAAGATTAGTGAGGAGGACTGCAAACATGCCTGAGAGACTTACAGCTTGGGTGTAGAAAAATACACATGACATACTAACTGTTGTCTTTGTGTGTTCCACAGGCAGAACATCTGAAGTCTGATAGCACAGCACTGCAACAGGCTTCAAGGCACTCTACCAAACCTGCTTGAGACTCCTGCCCTACAGTGGGCAAGGTCAAAGCACAGTGGTAAAATACACCTGCAAGAATCCCTGAAAAATGAGCAGCAGCTTCAGTGATTCTCTAGCAAGGACCAAGCTCCATAGTGACTGCCTCTGCTTGCTGCTTTGGGGGATCCCCCAGTGAGCAAGGTAACAAAAAGAAATTTACTTCTTGCATTTTAGACACAGTCTTATGGTTGTCCTTAAGCCCTGCTGACTCAACACACACACATGCTAGGCATCTGTGGTGGTTCCAGATTGCACCCTGGTTAGATGCCAGGCACCCACCAAACCTGCTCCATCATTCCCTTCCACAGCTGGACAGGAGAGAAAAAATTTACCAAAAGACTCATGAGTTACAGGCAGGGAGGGATTACTCACCAATTACAGTCACAGGAAAAAAGACTGAACTTGTGGAAACCAATTGAACTTATTACCAGTCAAAATCAGAGCAGAATAATGAGAAGTAGAGCAAATCTTAAAAACACCTTTCCCCCACCCCTCCCTCCTTCCCAAGCTTAACTTTACTCCTGAATCTCTACCTCTTTCCCCTCAGCAGTGCAGGGAAATGTGGAATGGGGATTACAGCCAGTTCATCACAGGTTGTTTCTGCCACTGCTTCCTCCTCAGGGAGAGCCCATACCCTGCTCCAGCATGGGATCCCTCCCTCAGCAGACAGTCCACCACAAACTTCTCCAATGTGAATCCTGTCCACAGGCTACAGTTCTTCATTAACTGCTCCAGCAGTTCCAGCCTTTCCAGAGGGTGCAGTACTTAAAGAAAAGGCTGCTCCAGTATGGGTTCCCCACAGGGTTACAAGTCATGTCAGCAAATCTGCTTCAGGGTAGGCTCTTCTCTCCATGGGTCTGGAGGCCCCTCCCAGGAGCCTGTTCCAGCACAGACCTTTCACGAGATCCCAAAACTCTTCTGAGCATAGACCTGCTTCACTGTGGGGTTCTTCTACGAGCTGTAGGTGGATCTCTGCACTCCCCACAGATATTCATGGACTGCAGGGGCACAGCTACCTCACCATGGTCTTCACCACAGACTGCAGGGAACCCCATCTCTGGCACCTGGAGCACCTCCTTGCCCTCTGACCTTAGTGGCTGCAGAGCTCTTCCTGTCACATATTCTCACTCCTCTCTTTTCTGAGCACTATTACCCCCATACAATTTTTTTTTAATCTTTACAGATATGTTATCATAGTGGTGTTTCTACCATCATTCCTGGACTCCATCTTGACCAGTGGCAGTTCCATATTGGAGCACTGGCTCTGTCTAGCAATGTCTCACAGAACCCACCACCACAGCCCTCCCCCTACCAAAACCTGGTCACACAAATGCAATACAGCACCCTTGGTACTCAGCTATAAAGGGAATCTTCCAGATCACCCTATTTTTGAGTTGGTCTTGCCAGTCCAAGTTCTGTTTGATCCTGTTTAGTTCTGCATTTATTTTAGTAGGTACAATTTAGGAGAGGCCTCATGATCTTTCACAGCTACAGTTCTCTGAATTTATAGCCTGAAAACAAGATCTATAATTCATGATAAACCACAATTGCTGGTATCCACACAACCAGACCTTGCAATGCAGTTTCCAGCCTCCAATTTTAGAACTGCAGATCAGTGCAGTCAGCCTGGCTATAATATTGGAGCCTGAAGTACACCAAAAAAGCAATAATGCAGAGTTTGAGAGAACAGAACAGACCTGGCTTAACACAATGGATAAAGCTGTGTATTCTTCCCTTTTAATTCTTGTCAGAAACAGTGGAATGCAAGGCCAGAATTCAGGAGCGATGCCCCCCAGTGCACCACTTCAGCTACAGGCTCTGAGATGCAGTGATCAGTTCTGTACCAAACAACAGGAGTACACTGGAAAATATCATCACCTCAGAGGAATAAAGGGCACACCAAAAAAAAAACAAACATCAGGACCTGTTATAACAAATTCTAGGATCACACAAAGAAAAACTGTCAACTTCCCTAGGCAGAAAAAACTCGGGCTGTTCTAACTACTGCACAAGGAAATTAAAAACATGAAAAAGTTAACACCTTTTTTTAAACATGAGAAAACAGAGACTGAGGGGTTGGAGAGACATCTCTACACTAATAAGAAGAAATACAAAGACTGACAGAGATATACAAAAACATTTGTCCATAGAATATGAAATATCATTGTCTGCTAAAGGTTTGAAGAAGCTACACAAGGCAAAACACCTCCAACAGTCACAACAAAGGAACAGAGGTAGAAGGGCAACTTTCTGATGCTAGGACAAGGGCTCTTAAGGGTAGCCTTAGTCCTCTTAACGAAGCTACTACCGTTATCACCCAGACAAATTAACTTCACAGCACTCCCACCTTACCCCAATGAGTAAGGTGGGAGTGCTGTGAAGTTGTACCTCTACAACTGAGGTGTAATTAGCTATTCAGATTGGAAGGGACCCAAGAAGCTTCCAGAATTTACACTACAAGCCAGAACCTTATGTAAGGGGAAATGAGCTGAGGCAACAAGACAGGAGTTTATACTAAGCCTGTCCTGAGGATTTGCAGCAAGGCTCAATCCTCCAGGTGACAGTCATCCATTCCTAGCATGACCCCTGGTCACTTGGTGCAGACATACTGTTACAGCTGCATCCCAGGTGAAGCTAGTTCTGGACCCTTCCATCCATGAGGATCTAGCAAACCCAAGCCAACCCCTTGCTATGAAGCAACAGTCCTCTAAATGTCTTAAGTGACTGTAGTCTGCAGCTGAGCACTCAGTCACAATGTGCATCCAAAAAAACCCTAACAGGACACAGGGAAGTAGGTCCAGGTGAAACAAAAGTGATTCTGCTATGGGAAAGAATAACACAGCAATTCCATCACAAGCAAAGCTAAAAGAACTTACTAAACGAAGATAAAACAAACATTATGACTTGTTACTAGTAAGAAATATGAAGTCTAATAGATAAGTTATCAAAAGAAAGTTTTATAAAAAGGGCATAAAGCATTGTATAACAATCTACTGTACAGCAGATTTCTAATCTCTGCAGCAGTAAAAACTAAAAAAAACAGAAAAAAAACAACAAAAACAAACAAACAAAAAACACCACACAAACCTCCACCCCCAGAAAATCACACATCCCCAAAAAAAAGGAACAAAAAAAGGACAGATATCATCAAAACACTCCCATTTCAGGAACATGACAGAAAGAAATCCATGAAAATATCACCTTCAGAACAGCCAAAGAAAAGCTGCACATCTAACCCTGATGAATGTGGGGGTCTTTTAGGCTGCAAACATAGATAGCCTGCCCACAGGGTTAAGGCCCAAACAAATCATCTTCCACTTCATAGGCAGGAAGGTAAGGAATGCATCTGTCTTTTCAAACTACTACTACAGATCCATCAGAGAGCACAGAGACATAGAAACAGTTCAGAGGTTTTTTTCTACTTACTCCAGTGCATCTACAGGATCTTCCTCCTCTGAGGACGAGCCAGTTTCATCCAGATCTTTAGCCATCCCAACTGGCATTTCCTTTGGGAGTTTTCATACAGCCCAGTCCTAGCTGCAAGAGCAGTTACCTGCAATGAGGATTAAAAGCAGGAATGAACAGCTAAGCACACCAGCGAGAGCAATCCGGTAACCACCACCTCCTTCCAGCACGCGTTTCTCAGAACGTTCTCAACAAGTCTGTCACACATCACCTCCGAGGCACGGCAGCGCAGGAAGCAGCATCGCCCTGCAGCAGGCATTCCGCACCGGCCCGTGAGAACCACCCGGGCGCTTACCGGTAACGCGCGTCCCCGCCCCGCCCCGCCCCGCCTCGGGCCGCACAGCCACGCCAGGCCGGCCCGGCCCAACGGGAAACGCCCGCCAAGCCCGCCGCGCCGCCCGGGGACAGCCGGCCACCGTAACGCCTGCACCGGCGCGGCAGCGGCCCTCCGGCCCGGGGGCGCGGCTGCGGCCCGGCCTACCCCGCGCCAGGCCAAGCACCCGCGGCGGCCCCAGAGGAAGCAGAGCGGCGGGGAGCGCCGAAGGCAGCGGGTGCCGTGCCAGCCGTACCTGTCCCGCAGGGCGGGCAGGCCGGGCCGGGCGCGCAGGGAGCCGCGGCCCCTCCCGCCGCTTCCCCGTTACTACAACAACCGCCCCGCCGCCCCCGCAGCCTCGCTGCGCAGGCGCACTCCACTGCGCCCCCTGCCGGCGCTCCCACCTACTCCCGCGAGGCGGGCGGGGACGAGGCGGGCACGCCTCCCGCGCGGCGAAGGCTCCGATTGGCGGGAGGCGGTCTGACGTAGCGTGGCGCGCGCGTGGAGCGGCGCGCAGCGGCCAATGGGAGCGCTGGGCGGTGGCGCGGGCGGGAGCGCCGCCGGTACCGGGCGGGGACTCGGCCTGGGCCCGGCGGGCGCGCTCCGAGCCGGCCGGGAGGATGAGCCGGTTCCTGAACGTGCTGCGCAGCTGGCTGGTCATGGTGTCGGTCATCGCCGCCGGGAATACCCTGCAGAGCTTCCGCGATCACGGCTTCCTCTCAGAGAAGCTGTACACCGCCAGCCCCGGCCTCGGTAAGGGCCGCGCCGGCCGCCCCGGCGCCTGGAGGTCGCCTTCAGCCGTGGGCCCTGGGCTGTCCTCGGGGTCCCAGCTCCGGGCCCGGGAGCTGCCTGCCGGCCCGGCGTGCCCTCCGCGGCGGGACTGGGGAGGCAGGCGGGCCGTGCGTGGTCTCCATGCGCTCCCTCCTTCTTTACGCAGTGAATGGGCTCCAGGCTCGGACCTTCGGCGTCTGGACCCTGCTGTCATCCGTGATCCGCTGCCTCTGCGCCATCGACATCCGTAACAGGACGTATGTAAAGCAGCACCCGAGAAATCCATTGGTTTGCTTGCTAGACATAGCCTGAGCTTAGGGGGCGGCACAGAGGAGGTGGGGAATCAAAAGCTGTTCCTGAACTTTCTGTAGTGTGACAGCATTCCCTTGAAGAAGCTCAAATAGCAGTGTGGGATTTGTGCGGCAGCTGCTGCCCCCTTCTTCCCCTCTGGGGACGGCCTGCGCGTTTGAGTTCTGTTCTTAGCTCAGTCAGAAACTGGTAGATCTGAGAACCTCCTACTGTCACCAATCTCGGAGCTCCAGCTTGGAAAGCTTTTTCTGAATGGCGTTGTTGCTCTGTTAATTAAGCAATTGCTAATGCTGTGGTGTGACTGATGATCAGTACTTCTTTTATTATAAGACAGCTCAGCTAAAGACTGGGATGGTTTTAGGTGCCCCATTGCAGTGCTCTTAACCGGTTGTTTTCTTTCCTGCACTCTTATCTGGGGCTGACGAGGCCTGAGGGGCAGCCTGATGCCGAGTGGGAGACACACCATTTCCCCCTGTGCTAACAGAAGTGTTTCTGAGAGGGGTTTCCAAGCAAGCTGACTTGAGGTCTGTGCTAGACAAAGCCTTTATTGGAGGTTGCTAAAATGTTTTTGTCAGTGCTTCCCTCTGCCCCTCAGCGGAAGCCACTGTTCACCTGGCAGTATGTGCTTGCATTGCCCAGGCTTATCTGAGGCAGGGAGGTGCAGGGACTAAACAATATGTTTTTAGAGGGTGGTGGCAATGTCAGTTATCAAGAATCAGTTGTTTCTTTGAGGAATTTTATCTCGTGTCTCTTGAACCTGCTCCCTTTTCAACCTTTTAGAGGGTGGTGGCAGTGTCAGTTATCAAGAGTCAGTTTCTTTGAGGAATTTTATCTCGTGTCTCTTGAACCTGCTCCCTTTTCAACAGCTGTGGCCCATAGAGGGTAGCAGAGCACAGGTGGGAAGACACTGGGTGATGCAGCCTGAAGTCAGCCAGTCCTGTCACCCCAGTTCTCTGCTCATCCAGTTCTCACCTTCTTTTTGTGTATGCACATACTTCTCATTTCACTGGTGCCCTACTCATGCTCTCCTCTCTTCACCTTCCTTCAGGCCAGATAATGCCTGTGACTTTCAGTGCACCATTGAACGTGCTGCTCCATTCTCCTCTCAGCTGTTGCCCAGGGGGATTTTGCACCTCCCTAGGCAAGGGACAAAGTCCCCTCTGTGCTGCCAGTGAGAGCAGATGGGGCAGCATTCAGGTTTGCCTTTTTTCCCACTCAGCCATATTCATGCCCATAGTATAATATGATAACTTGCTTTTTTTCTGTTCTTCAACAGCCTCTATCACATCACGCTCTTTACCTTCTTTTTGGCCCTTGCTCACTTCCTCTCTGAGGTCTTCATATACCACACTGCAGCCCTGACAATTGGAGTTATGGCACCCCTCATGGTAGCAAGTAAGTAGAGCTCTGCATCCTCCCCCTGCACACTCTCCTTGGAGCTATGAGAGCCCAGAAAAACTCCCCATGCAGCTCTGGGCTGAGGGATGGCAGGAGGGGTTGCTTCATCTCTTGTCCCACATTTTCTACAAAACTCATCCTCCATCTCTATCACAGGTTTCTCTATTTTGGGGATGTTGATTGGACTGCAGTACCTGGAGGTGGAAGCACTATCACAAAACAAGAAGAAAAACTGAAGTTGAGGGCTTTTTGTGGGTCGGTGTCATCTTCTACCTTCACTGCCAGACTTCCACAAAAGCTCAGCTGACCTTCTCCAGGACACCAGTCCTGCTGGTGGGTGATGTTGGACTCTGTCAATCAGTGTCATTACCAAGTTGTTTTTGTCTTGTCCAGGCAACATTTCAACTGACTGATGTCAAAGACCAAGTCCCAGAGGAGTTTGTGTCAAAGCTTATGGGAGGCAGTTGGTGACTGACTCCCAGGGGAGCAGGCAAAGCCTCTGGCACACCCAGAGCACTAAGGCCTTCTCTCCCAGTGTACCTGTGGGGACAGGGTGCAGAACTGTCCAGGATGTGCTGAACACTTTGGACCAGAAAGAGAGAACGGGTGCTACCCCTGGCATTGCTGTGTAACTTGCATGTGTGTGTTCCCCAGGGGCCATTTATAATAAATGACAAAAAACTGCAGTGGGCTATGTTTATCTTTCTCCTACACAACAGTGGGTAGAAGAACAGAGCCAACAGCACCTTCCACTGTATGTTGCAGAATACATCATCTCTCTTTACAGCAAACCTGCCTTTCCCTGAGTCCTTGCCACAGAGTTCCAGGTCTGACTGCTCACATAACACACATGAAGAGGGTTGTTGATGCTCTCTCTGCAGCATGCTGGTGACAACAAACTCAAACTATGAATCTGTGAGTGAGGACTGAGCTTCCTGTGTGGCAAGTTAAAACTAAGGAGAAAACAGGAACAGGTTCCTTAGACCTAGAGAAAATAATGCCCTAAACAGTGGGCAGCACACAGAATGCAGAAAAAAACCCAGCAGGAACTCCTAGCTGGGAAGACAATTCACATGCAGAAGGAAGAGGAAACAAAGGGAGGAAAAGAAGACAGCAGTAGTACTGGGCAAAAAGATGATTCTTCCATTGTACAGAACATTAAACACATGCAGACTGTTTCCAATAATTTAATATGAATATGTCAGGTTTCATTGTACACTTCAAATGTTTACATTTTACATTAAAATTTCTATTGAAAATCATTCTAAACCCCCATCCTCAATCCCAAACTAGCAAAGATAAGACTTCAATCATAAAATATGCTGAAGTGAAAGGAATTTATCAGGATCACAGTCCAACTCCTGGCCCTGCACAGGACCCCTAAGAATCACACCATGTGCCTGAGAGTTGTCTAAGCACCTACTGAACTCAGGCTGTCTCAAAATGTAGTGTATCAAAAAACATTAAAATTTCACCAAAAAAATGTCAAAAATAGTTTGTCAGAAAGGAATATTTTCAACTATTCTACCTCAGTACAGCTTTTGTCCTCTGCCTCAAATAATCCCTAAGTAACAGCATGATTTAAGGCATATTAGGACATTTGATGCCTCCAGCAGAGGTGGGATGCTGGAAAGGATGGAGAAGTGATAAAAGGATCTACAGTTGTGTTTAGAACATAAACAGCATAGAGATGGGCAGTGTCTATAAGACATAAGTGCTGGTAAGTAGGCACCTTTTCCTGTTCTCTATTATCAAGTGGGAAGCTTCCACATCAGAGCCAAGCTGGATTCCCATCATATCCCTCTCTGGCTGTGAAGAACAACACAGCCTTGGCTGGTTTGCTCAATATAACACTTCACAAAAGTTTGTATGTCATGTTGAAACATGCAAAAGGCACTTTACTGTTAAGGAGGAAGACACAGTCCTCAGCCCAGGGAAATAGTGGTTTGACTCTTGTTGCTAATGTAGTGATGAGCTAGATTTAAGCTGCAGAACTAGTCCTTGCCTCAAGCTAGAAGGAGGCATATTGGTGTCTCTTAATTACTCTTAATATGTAGGAACATCAGGGCAACCCCAGTGAATTCTGAGTAAAAGTTTATCCAGATTGAGTGCTTCATCTGGGAAAGCCAAATAAAAGAATAGCTAGCAGCAGCTGGTGCACTGCTTTGCACTTGCTAGTAATATACTGAGGCCTCTACTACTACCTGTGCAACACAGAGCATAATGGGAACCAAGGCAGAGCAATCTCTTTTCCCTAGAGCCAGCTCTTCCAGCCAGCTTCAGAGTTAAGTGTGGTCCAGCTTCTGCCTTTCACATCATGGCCACATGCAAGGTGCCACCATCATGCTCAGGGTTAGCCTGGTACTGTGGCTTTTCTCTCAGCACATGCTTTTTCCAATCATACATGGTGGGACTGGGGGAACACAGCAAATTTTCTCCCAAACACCAAAACAGCATGATGCAAGCATAAAACTGACAAAAGCAACCCCCCCTCTTGTTTTGTGCTTTCACACTCTCCACAAGCAGTTCACAGAGCTCCTGTCCTGAGGCTGCTCCCCTCCCATGGCATGCATGTGACAGGAGCATGGTGCAGGTAGAAAAGATGGGAATGAGGGGGCTGTATCTCCCAGCTCTGCCACCCCTTCATTTCACAGCCGTGATTCCTCAAGGACTATGGAATTAGTGTAGGCTTCTGGCAACACTTTCTGCAAATCAGAGAAAAACAATATGGTCAGAATCCTGGCTGGCCAGACCCAGGCTTCAGAGACATCAGCTGACCACAGCCTGGGTAGTTCATAGCTCCCTACTACTGCAGAAATCCCCAAAGAAGAATCACCATCCTCAGAGAGTGCTGCTGGTTCCCTCTTCCTTCTCTTGCCACTTTGACTGCCCAAGCAAGGGGCACTGGGGCAGCAGAGTAGTGCTATGTCTCACTGTTTAAGCTACTTGCTGTAGCCCTCAGACCACTACTAATTCACAGTGGGGTTGATACCACTGGAGGTATCAGACCCACAGCCAGCTCACCAACATTTCACTGGGACACAAGTTCAGCTTCAAAGCATGAAGTTGCAGGGCCAGTTCCCTGGGCAAGGGAAAGTGCTGGGAACTCCTTCATGCCATGAGGCAGCACAGTGTCCGTGCAAACACCAGAGAGAACTTGTGTTCTTTACATCCTCAGGACGCTCAGCACAACCACTAGTTCCCCTGTGTTCTTACTCCAGCATGCCTGAGGCTTCTTCAATTCCCAGACACATTGCTTATCTTGCTCATCTTCCAAGTCTTCATCCCCACCCCCACTGCCCACTGAAGTGCTGGCATCCTCTGTCCTGCTCTTCCCTTTCCCCAGCTTGGATTCATGGCTGAGATAATTCCACAGAGCGGTGCCTTCTTCAAAGTTCACTACTCATATCTTAGAGACTTAAGAAATAAGAAGCATACAAAAGGGGTTTTTTTCTCCATAAATCCTGTACAAGAACTAGCCTGATTTCTTGGAATCTTAAGATGGAGGGAGTTTTTCCCAGAGAAAAAGCAAGAAAAATGGGGACTGCTGCCTAATTACCACCCTATCCTCAGCTTCACAGAACAGCCAAACTGTAGTCATTCCAGTTCAGCTTTCCTGGGTGGAGTCTGACAAGCTCAGTTTCTGAGCCTTTCTGGGGTGTGTTAGGATTAAACTTGAGACTACTTCCCCTAGTGGATTTTTGATACCTCTCAAGTTCTAATTCTGCTTACAGTGAGACAGTCCAGCTGTCACCAATTCAGGAGATAGCACACAGACTTGTAAGGGTTAATGTGGAGTCTCCTGCAGCCTGGGCTCTAAGTTTACTCACTGTAAAGCAAGACTGACATCTGAGGCAGAAACCAGAGGTGCATAGGAAAGAGGTTCACATCCCCAGTGCAGTTCAAGAGAAATTCAGGCAGCATGGAAGCAAGAGATATGAAACACTCTCCTTTTGAGTAGGCACTTACACAATCTGTAGGTGAAAAGGTTTTACAGAAGTCAGCAGCAATATCCTAAAGCAGAGGAGTGAGATAAGGAAACCTTCAAAGACGTATCTGAAAGCAAAAGCCAGGAAGTGCAAAGAGGGAACTTCAACAAGGTGAAGGGGTAGGGGGGTGCATGAAAGTAGGAATAAGGGGAAATCTGCATTTAGAAGAAGAAGTAGGGGGGGTGCATGAAAGTAGGAATAAGGGGAAATCTGCATTTAGACTTCAGAAACTCCACCAGAACGCACCATGGAAGCACTCAAGCAACTCAGAACAGGCTCCCCCAAGCACCTCTGGGGTCTTAGCACCAGTCATCTGCTGTGGAGCTATAGGAGCAGAGATTTAGATCAGACAGTCTGCAGGGCTCCACCACCTTGGGAAAGGAAAGCTGCTCTCACAGCTGTGAGTCACAGTATTGGAAAAGGGCACAGAATGGCCTGCCTATGGCTTTGGGACAGGAGAAGGCTGCTTGCCACACAGTAAACAGAGAAATGGAGCAGGGAAGTTTGGGAAGCAGAGAATGGGTACACACCGTTTGTGCCTACTACACAAAATTCCAGCATTTTTTTATTGGCAGTATTTCACTAGAGGCTAGGAATGGTGCAGCTTCCAATGGAATCCAGTAAGCTACTGAGGGTGGACACTTGTCCTAAACAAACTATGGAAGATTGGAAAGATGTTTTTTTCTTAATGCAAAGAAACAATACAAAAATGTTTGCATGGATGCTGCAAATCACAAGCAAATGAGCATAAGCAGTACACAGCATATTCATTAGTGTAACGTGTGTGCTGAATCAACTGACATTACTATGAAATCTTAAGGCACAACACTAGAATGGGTTCAGATGCATTTACAACAAAGGCAGCACACAAAGAGCCTCATTATCAGGCATTTGATCCGAGTGTCCTGAGATACAGAAAGCTAGCCCAGCTGGAGCTCTGGGAACTGAGGCAGACAAAAGTGGCGAGGATTACTGGAACCACATTACAGCTTAATTAATAGAGGACAAGGTGTACACAATGCCATTAGGCTCATTTAATCTACTAACTGCAACAGTTGTTAATTATAACCATAGCAGATGAGGGCACCCATAGAAGACAAACTGCTACACAGCCAGTGGTACAGGGCTTCTATGGAAGTGAGATCTGCACAACTCCACGGCTCTGCATGCTTTGGAAGCTCACAACTGACTCTAAGTCTTCTCCTTGCAACAACCACAGAATTGTTTAGGCTGGAAAAGATCCTTAAGATCACAGAGTCCAACCATTTACCCAGCACTGCCAAGTCCACCACTAAACCATGTCCCTACAAACCATGTCTACATGTCTTATAAATACCTCCAGGGATAGTGACTCTTAACATTTCCCTAAGCAGCCTGTTCCAATGCTTGACAACCTTTTTGATGAAGAAATTTTCCTAATACCCAATGTAAATCTCCCATGGTATAACTTGAGGTTTGTTTCTTCTTGTCCTGTCACACACTGACCCCCAGCTCACTATGATCTCCCTTCAGGTTGTTGTAGAGAGCAAAAAGCTCTCAAGCCTCCTTTTCTCCAGGCTAAACAACCCCAGCTCCTTCAGGTGCTCCTCATAGGACTTGTGCTCCAGAGCCTTCACCAGCTCCCTGGCCCTTCTCTGCATATGCCCCAATACTTCAATGTCCTTCTTGTAGTGAGAGGCCCAAAACTGAACACAGGAATTGAGGTGCAGCCTCACCAAGGACAAGTGGACAAACCTTCCCCCAGTCCTGCTGGCCACACTATTTCTGACATAAGCCAAGATGCCACTGGCCCTCTTGGCTACCTGGGCACACACTGGCTCTTGTTCAGTGGCTGCTGACCCACACCCCCAGGTCTTTTTCCAACGGACAACTTTTCAGCTGCTCTTTTCCGAGCCTGTAGTACTACCCTGTGGCCCAACTGCAGGAACCAGCATTCACCTTGTTGAACACCTCACAAAATTATCACAGCCTATCCAGGTCCCTCTGCATAGCCTTCCAATCCCCCAACAATACTCCTGCCCAACTTGGTGTTTGGTCTGCAAACTGACTAAAGGTGCACTTGATCCCTTCATGCAGGTCATCAACAAAGGGACTAAACAGGACTATCCCCAATACTGAGCCTTGGGGCACTGGTGACCTGATGCCAGCTGGATATAACTCCATTTACCAACACTTTCCCTGCCCATGGGACTCTTCCTCATACTTCCATCAAAATACAGCAGCTTCATGGTCCCTGTAGAACATGCCCTAATCTTAGCAAGTTTAAGGGTGGTTTTCCCAATGGACTCGCTTTGCTTTTGCCTGTTAGTCCTGCTGGCCATGGCACTAAATGATATGCACAGTCTACCACACCTTGAAAAGCAAAGAGTAGCATGGATAAGCTAGCAGACCAGCCTGTCAGTGTGACACAGAGGACAGTGAGTAGTAAAGCATACCACCTCAAGCAACAGCTGAGAAAACACAAAGTACCACTGAGATTCACAGATCAACAAGCACAGAGCTTTACAATTTTCAGGCATTCTTATACCACAAGGCACCAGCCCAATGACTCTGTTCTTACTACACGTTTTTAAATTTCCTTCTTGAAGCTGGCCATGCACCCTGCCCGTGATCAAAACCAATTCTTTAAATTCACCTCCAGCCAAGAATTTGGACTGCAAAAATAATGACAGAGAAGCAGCTCCAAATGTCTGTGCCTCCTCTCCCTAACAAATGACTGACAGTTCAGTTCTTAATCTGCTCCAGCACCAGGCTTTGCTTTGCTGTATCTAGCTGAATCCCTACATCTCTGTCTGACATGAGTCTGGGGGGATCTCCACTCTATTATTGGGAACTGTCTTGTCTTTCCTCTCAGCTGAGTACCTGAGAAGACCAGAAAGATTCTTGATACTCTACAGCCACTGCAGTCATCCCAGCAATGTCATTGGCTTCATGCCTGTGCCACCCTGTGAGCGTTCAGAGAAGTAGGTTAGTGCAATTCTCCTACCTTGGTGTGTTTAAGCTAGTGAGCAGGAGTGGCAATTGATGGGGTTAGATTTACAAGCTACAGTCCCATAATCCATGATCTGATTGCTGCCTTGGAGTCTCTGTAATGACAGTCACAAGTCAGAAAATATGGAGGCAAGTAGGAAAAGAAATTAAAGTGGAGCAAAATAAGAAAGGGAAACAGGCAATGGAAGAAAACAGTAAAATCACCCAAGCATGTGTAAGGCAGCTGTGCCACACAGAAAGGCCCCAGTACCTGACTTTGTCAGAGTTCTCCACAAAGGCAGCACACAATGCCCAAGCCCAGATGGGTGATCCCCTGGTCGAGGCATCCATCTTAATGCAGAATACCAGATTCAGCCTGCCATCAGTCAGTTGAGCACCTGCAGCTGGTTGTTAAGTTTGAGAATACTCAGGTGAGCTCAGCCATGTGGAGGACACATTTGGGGGTGTGGTGGGGGGTGCAACATGACTTCCTCCGAGCACGTCTCCTCAGAGGGAAGGAGCTGCCAGTGAAATTTTTGATTGACTGAGACCCATTATCTCACACACACCCCTTTAGTTCTTACTACTGTCAGTTCTGGAGACTTTCAGGATTATAAAAATGACATTGCACCACCTTTGCTGTGGTTGCAATGCTCCTCCCCATGCAACAGCAAGCTCTTACAATAGTATTTAGACTGAAAAGGATTTATACTAAACAGGGCTTAGGCAAAAAATATACAATTCATCTGATGAGAGAAGTGTCCAACAAAGGGAAAGGATCAACTACTAGAAGGCATCACCTTCACTGCCAAAGGACCTCAGGCCCTTTCCTGGGCCTTCCACATCTGTGTTATGAATTCAGCTCACATTGCCACTGAAGAAGGGCAGCACTGTCTTCTGAATAGAGTAACTCAAGACAGCAGAGAACTGAGATTTTCACACTTTGCTAGCCATGGTTGCTGATGGTCACTTGAACATTGAGTGGGTATCTCTGTTAACATCCTAGAAGAGGAGCCCAGAGTAATACAGAAAATAGCCTCAAGCAACCAGTCCCCTCCCTTTCCCTGCAGGGAGAGCTTCTCACATTATCCACTGCAATTAGTTCACCCACATGCAAATAACTGCTTTTATTGCACAGCATGCCACAGGGACATCACACCCCAAGCTCTGGTGTGCAAGTATGAGCTAGCAGCCTTGTCAGCAACACTATGCAAAGTGTTAGCAGCCAGGTTGCTCAAAGCCTCACTTAGGCTTTGGCACCTTAGCTTCCTCCAGTCACATACACTGAACCCCACTTGGCAGCTGAGGGCAAGGAGTAAGAGGAATAACCTGCCAGCCTAGGGGCCTTGAATAATAGCTACTCATCTCTAAAAAAAGAGCAAAGCACTGAAGTCCTCAACACATTGTCAAGGAGGGAGACAAATGAGCATAGTACTGCCCAGCATCTGGTCCTAGCTGGTATGAAGATGTGTGAAGCTCTGTAGAACCCCAGAGGACCAGAGCCTACAGATTCTGCATGACATTAACACTGAGCAAACAGAGGCCCCAGCAGCTGGCAGAGCTAGGACTACATCCAGTTTGAAAATGCCAACAAGGAGCTTCCCCACAAGCCACTCCCTTCCTAGAAAGGAGAGAGATTGGGTATTGTCCTGAGCTAATAGCAGAGGCACAGCAGGGATTGAAGGAGGGTTTACTCACTGTCTGTTCATTTTCCAAATTGGCCTGATGTCTTCGGAGATCAGCCTTAATGAATGCTGGAACAGAGGAAGGAAGAGAGATGTGAAGGCAGTCAAGTCACCATGCAGGACCCAAGTCAATTTCCCCAGGACTCAAAGGAGCAGCAGAAGCCCCAGAAGAGACAGAAACACAATACAATGAGCAAGAGAAACCACCCTCATGAACAAGGCTGAGAACACTTCTGAAACAGGCAGGATAGAGATTCTTTATTGCAGCATGTAGAAGGTGCAACTTTGAGACCCCAGCCAGAGCCAGGGAAAAAAGCCTTGGCTCTTCTTTGTAAGACAGACCAGACATTTAAAGAAGAACAGCATTGCTATGGGACTACTGTGTGGTTCTGCCCTTTTCTGCAGGCACTGTGAAGCACAGAGAGATGACTCTTCAACTAATTAAGTTGAAAAGAAGGTACATTATCACAGTGCTGGACACATGCGGAATCATTTCTAAAGGCATGTGCAAAAAAGACACAAGTTCCTGCTCTCTATTTATCCAAAAAGGTTTTACATACTCAAATGGTTTCCAGGATGGTTTCTATGATGCTTATTACATAAATATTAGCTCTGGCCTGGTATTATAATTAGCTGAATATCCATTACAGCTGCACAATTGTCCTCTGCAATTGGGTCAGTGGGCTTCTGGGGAGGAAGTAAAACATCTTCCTCATGGTAAACTCTTCATCTGTGTCTAGCTGGCAGGGCTCCTTGACTTGCTGGTCACAGTCCAAACCCCTTCTCATTCTTAGAACCCAGTGGTATTTATGGCTCCTGCACTCTTACAATACTTCATATATTACCTGTCATTCCCAACCTTGTTTCAGTTATCCCCACCTGGTATCAATTAGTTCCCTTGTTAAGCTCTAATCACAGTATATGATCTTTGCTACCTACATTTCTAACTTAACCCTTTGACTCAACTGCACACAAAAGCCTTCAATGAATGTGCCAAGCCCAAGGCAAAGTCAGAGCAGAAGAACACGGAAAATTTTAATTACCTGTCAGAATAGTCCCCAGGAACAGGACAGAACAAAGCAAGAGGTTTCCTGCCTTTGTCCCAAAGTGATCTATGATTTGCCCTTGGCTAATGGTGAAGGCAATACCAAAAATCTACAAACAAACAAAGGTAATGTCAAGCTGTACTGCTATCATAAAACAGCCCAAACTCTTTCCAATCTTTACCAAAGTATCAGAGCATACAGGCCAGTCAAACAGTTGGCCTAGTCAGGCTAAAGTTTGATTATAATCACATCCAGAGGCACCTCCTTGCAGCTGATGCAATGACAGATGACCCTGGGTGGAATCTCATCTCTCACTGGAGATGAACCAGGACTGTTAAGAGCTATGTTGGAAAAGGCAAGGATGACATGCACCCTGAAGTATTTTCTTAAACAGAATGAGTGCCACTAACAGAAATGCCATGAGGAACATCATTCAAAAAGCCAGGTCCCAGGGTGCTTAGATCTGCAGTACATTACACCAATAATGGACAAGAAATAGGACTCAAGGCTTGGAACTACAATTTAATCTCTTTGCCTAAAAAGAGGCAAGCAAAGGGAAAACTGCACACCTACCTGTGCTGAGACATTAAGAAGCCCTGATGATGTTCCTTCTGATTCTGGGTATGTCAACTCTGCAGCAAACTCAAAGCCCAGGGGAAGGTATCCTGTCATGAAAAACCTGTAACGAAGTACGCAGAAAGGAAGACTCAGCAACTGCCAGAAGGAAGACTGAAGAGGTACAGTATAGACCATAACTCTAAGCAGCATCACCCCCAGCACAGTCAAACAGCCATGCCAGCCCACATGCTTTTTGCTCTTGTCCACTGATCATCTATGGGGCTGCAGGTACCACTTGCTTTCCAAAAGCTTCCACTTACCTGGAACAATTAAGCTGAGCAGGGTCACGACAATGCCCCAGACTCTAATGAAACACATACAAGTGAGAGATGGGAAGGCCAGATAGGAGCCATTCAGATGCTATGGCTCTTCCCAGTCCCTTCCACAGCAGTTCTGCCTCCCTGCTTATCCCCTCCCATCACAGGCCAAGGAAAGCAGCCTGCACATGAACTTACCCCAGCAACCCAGCAGTCACAAAGACCACCCAGAGGTGGTCCAGGCTCAGAGTGAAGGTATAGACTATCATTCCCACCAGAGACATGACATAGACAACTAGTGTTGTTTGCCTGCAAGAAAAAGCAAACAGGATTTTATTTAATCCAATCCTCCTCTTTGCCCACAGATATTAGTATTGTTTGTAGCACATGGGTAAAAAAAAAAAACATTTAAAAGTTGCAGTCTTTTGGCACTCATACCCAGACAGAGGAACTAGACTGACAGATAGCATGGAAAGGCCTGCACACAGAGCAGCACAGCAGAAGAAGAAAGATCCTACCACAGGTTGACAGTTGCCTGGTCATATATGGTATACTGCACCTGAGGGGGAGAACAAGAGCCAATTAAGGAGATCATTAATCTTTCTTGGGCATCCTCTGTACTATAGTGAGTTGAATATACTTACTTAAAAGCAGGAGCCAAGGAGATCAAGCACTCTCAAGCAGGAACGTAAAGGAAGGAGGTGTCAACACTGCTAGAGTCTTATGGGCCTATGTCTTTCAGTGCTGTCTGAAACAGCTTTCATTGCTGCTCCTTTCTGTTGTTTAAAGTGCCTGCTGTATTTGGAGAGGTGACATGCAAGCCAGGTTGCTCTCACAGCCTCACCCTCAAGCCATAAGAGCATTTAGCAGGTGCTAGTTCCACAGGCAACAGCAGCTGAGCCACAAGCTCTTGTCTGGGTGCAAAGGAGACAAAGACACCCTGTGCTCAGGAAGTATGGCAGTCAGATCCTGGGAAGAGCCACACCTGCAGCCAGGCTGTGCAAAGATCACCAGGGCACTCAGCACTGCGAGACACAGGCAGCAGCCCAGGCCAGCTTTTACCACAACATTTAGCAATTGTCATCCTTGACTACACACCAAGAAAACCCTATCCACATTTAAAAAAACAAGGCTCTTTCTAGTACAAGAGGCAGCAGTAGTCTTCCCAGTACATAGTTTTGAGGAGGAAAAGGAGGGAAAGGAGGAAAAGGTAAATACTTTACCTGACTGACATTCCACCAGGATTTTGAAAGCAGAACAGTTACCAGAGTTGGTAAAACCTCTTGATCATTTTCTTTTAGGAAGAAGTTACATGTATTACCACAAGCTATTTGTGTACTTTCTCCCGAATTTAACTCTTAATCCATTAAATAATGTGTTTGATATGAGTTCCTAGAACTCCACTGAAGAAACTAAATCTCAAACTATTTTCCTTTTTAATGGAAATGATCACTGTCAAAAATCTAATCCAAGTAGGCAGTAAGTATTACAATGTGTAAGAAAATGTTTCCAGTACACTGAATTACTACAGATAAATCCAGTCTGCTCCAGCTAAGGTTCTGTCCTCCCCCACTGCTGCAATGACTGCAGTCAGTGGGGCTCATGCCCATACGTCAATTCTTACACAAATATAGGCCTGAGAAGCAAATTTCAGGCTTCAGCTATTGATCCATACTTACAAGGGTCACCAGGCTCATTTAATATATTGAAAGGCTAAACAACATGCTGTGGCAAGCATGTTGTGTATTTTGTTTTGTAATTTTGTTGTGTATCAAAGGAGTAGTTAAATCCCTTAACCTCCAGTGCTGTATCATTTCTAAAGTATGTTCTTTCCCTAGTTTTCACTGAAGGAAAAAATCAGCTGTGAAGGCAGCCTAAAGGAACTGTTTACTTCTGTTATAATCATTGCAGAGAGCTGCTACATGGTTGGCACAATGCCTGGAGGCTGCAGAAGAAGAGCTGAAAGACTGACTGAACCGACAAAGAGCAGTCCCAGAGAGTGAAAGAGATGCAAGTAAAAGCCTTTTTCTGCTCAATACAGGTTCCTCAGGTATGTCCCATGAGTTCTTATGCCTCTCATGCTTTGACAAGCAGCCATGGAGAAAAGAGATAATTAGGAAAGGAGCTCAAAGCTAGAATTACAGTTCTGCACTTGGGCTACATGAACCAAGTTTGAACTGGGTGCTCCTTCCATAAACAGAAGCCTCCAAATTACATAGCAGTTTGAGCTAAAATACTGTTCAGGCCTCCAAGAGGTGGTTGCAGCCCTTGGCTGGAAGTTTAGTCACTGCCTGCAGGGACACTCAGCCCATGGAGAGTTTTATAATTTTTTTCTCACCACAGCCAGTTTGGGCTCAGTGCAGAGGTCTCAGGATAGTCACAAAATCTCTACTCAGTTCTCTAGGCTTATGGTTCAAGTATTCAAAGGTATTTGTATCTTATTCAGTGTCATGACAGTTGCCAAGTGTTGCATTTTGCCCTTCATCTCCAGGCAAAGGTGAAGAATGAGACAGTGACCAGATGTGGTAAAGACTTTGTTTCACATTGATGCTATGTCATTAGTCAAGCTGCAAGAGAGGAGTTCAGTTCCCAGAACGTGCTGTGCCTCACAGAGAGCTAGAGCAGGCAGACTCCTAGCTGCAGGCAAACTCTTAAAGGTGTTCTTCACTGAAACTGCAGAACTGTGTAGAGGACAAAATGGAGAAAACTGATCCTGCCATGGGTACCTCATCTAGCAAGTTTTCCTCACTGACCTCCCTGAATCATTAGGCTGCAGAAGGACAAAATTAATCAATAGATCTTTGTGAAAGAACAAGGCCACAGGCTTGAGTGTTGTGGGAAACACAGACCAGGAAGCATCCTGAAGCCATGAACTGCTGCCTGCCCACCACAGACCCTCACAGGATCTGAACAGAGAGCACCAAATGTAAATCCTGCTGCAGGAAACAGCCTTAAGCACACAAGCAGACTTCTCCTAAACCAGACTTCAGCAAAACCCTGCTCCCCCGAGCATACCACTGATGACAAGAAAAGGAGATTTAGTGCTCAGCAGTCCAAGAAAGACACAACATTTTGAAGAGGGTTTAACTGAGATACTGGTAGACACTGGTGCACAGGGGGACAAAATCCCCTGGGGAAAGACACAGATGCAGAGTGTTCTCAGGAAGTGGCCTTTGACACCCTGTTCACCAGAGAACAAGAATGTTCTGTGGCCCTAGGGGCACTGGGGCATGGAAAAATGCCCAGTTTTAGCTTAATAAGCCTCTTATCATAGCCATAAATCTCATGGGAGTGAGAAAAGCACAAAGGAGGAGAAGCAGATTCACAGAGCACATCAGCACTGCATTCTGGTGTTTTTAGCAACCTACACCCATGATGGCTCTACAGGGACTGACAATTTTCATTGTCTGGAACAGGGAACAGAGACTGTCTACTTAACAGGCTGGTTAGTGCAGTGAGTACAGGCTAGAAGTTAGGCATCCTGCCACATTACCTTAGAAAAACTGAGGTTAACCCAACCCTGTGCTCTGGGGTGTGGAAAGGAAGCATTGTTATGAAGGCACCAGTGCCAAGTCTTTGTGGCAGAACCAGAGGGAGATCTGTGAAGGACCTGACACACTTGTCACTTACATGAACCTTACTAGCCCTGACATTAATCTGCCTTCCCAGTCACATTCCCAAACCTTCTGAAGGGCAGATAAAGAGCCACACAAGGGACTGTGAGAAAAAAGAGATCATGGGGAAAAAAGCCAGACAGGGCCAGCACCAGCAGGGAACAGGGCTGAAATGAAGAACACATCTCCTGCTGTTCAGTCAGCTCCAGAAGAAGCCTCAGAGTAAGGAACGTGTATGGCCCAGCCCAGCCTTGTCTCACAAGGTCACTCAGATGAGGAAAGCAAAAGGGACACGACGAGACTCAGAGGAGATTGCAGCTGCAAAAACACTGAAGTCAAACAACATCTGAAGCAACAAATGAACAAGCTGGGAGCAGGAGGTGGGATGAGGGGCACAGGCACATAGAACAGTTCTAGCTGCTCACAGGGATGTTGTATGCAGCTCCAGCATGCTCTGCTGTACAGACATGGATGACAGATGGCCTCCACAGGCTTTGCCATGAAGACAGCACATTCCAGGCTGCACACAAGCCCGAACAAAGCCCTTGATCCTATGCTCCCAGAAGATCTCATTGCTGAAGACACAGAGGTGTCAGCTGCTGGAGAAGGGGATGAATTGGAGAACACTGCCTTGGTTTTCACCACGCCCTTATCCTTAGGCATTCAGTTTTATGCCACTTTCTTCCTGTATGAAGGTCAGAAGAAAGGACAGTCTTGGTAAATTATTTATATAACACATATGGCAGGACAGGGTGAAGACATATCCACTACACAAGGACCAACCTTGTGTAAAACACGCTCCAATTGCAGGTCAGGCTAGGCTGAGAGAGCATTCACCTTCTCACTTGGAAGAAAGCCAAGTGCTCCATCCTCCACCATCTTTTCTCCCTCCCCCAAATTTTTGTACCTTGCATGTGTATAGACCTAAAACACCACTTGAGGTCTTCTGCCTAGTCAATGGAGAGAGAGATGGATATTTCTGATATCTTATAGAGAGCCTTATAGAGATGCAGCAATGAAAGCAGAAAATGCTGACTGCAACCAGCTTGACCTGAGGCCATGTGAACACTGCACTTTAAAGAAACCAAAGAGAAGTGCTGATTAATTCAGTCCCCAAACACCTCATTCTGAGCCAGACTACCCCACCAACACCAATGCACCCAGCAGTCTCCAGGTGTCACAACTTCATCTGTCCTCTGAGCCAGGAACTTGATGTCAAAACTATAAGGGTCTTCTCCTGATTCTATGATTCAAAGAGATGGGCTGTACTCAACAAGCCATACCACCAAAGACAACCCCAATTCTTGTACTGCTCACTCATCACTATATAACCCATGTGTTGCTCTGGTTTTTTTTGAGTTCTTCTAAGTTTTCTGATGTTTACATTATTGTAACGATTTTTTTCACTGACTTTATGTAAATAATTAATTGTTTTGTATTCTTTTCTGGAGGAGGAGAAATTTGATGGACCGTTGGTTTGTCCAGTGTCATTGGAGAGGTGTCACTTTCACCCTCCAATCCACTGTCACTTTTAAAAATCTATAAATGTTGGAGTCAGAATTAAACTTCCCTCTTTCTCACCTTCAAGAATCCAGTATCTGCATCTTTCTATTTTGTGTCCTAGAGTAACACCCATGTATCTATTTAAATGGACCAAATTTTCACCTGCTATTCCAAAAACAAGAACAGTGCAGGGACTGCCACAGCGACTTGCCTGCCAAATAAAAGCAAGAGTGCAAGGCCATTTGGTGCCCGAGCATGACAGATGGGGAAAGCCTGACTTAGCACAGCCTCACCCTTTCAAGGAACTGCTGATGGTACAGTAAAGACCAAACATGCATGTAGAGCTCTGCAATTCCTTCTGTTATTAACCTTCCTCTGCTCCCCGCAATCACAGCTGGATCCCATTCATTTGCTTCCCTCTCTTTACAAACTGACTAAAAAAAGGACTTAATATCTTTCCTTCCTGATTTTCATGTGCTTACCATTTTATTCTTGACACTATCTCAGCAACAGAGGGAAGGGGGAGGGTACCCACCTAGAACATCTGGCATCTTGACAGTTTTTTAAATAGACTTTTAAATGGGGCTAAATAAAGACTATGTAGCACTCAGAAAAAAATGTGCTAGTTTCACAGAAATCCATTTTGTGGGCGGTAAGGGAGAACAAATTCTTAGCAGGGTTTTTCCTTACCTAAGGCTAAAATATCCCCCAACAGTCCATGGGGGTCTGTAGAAGAAAATCCATGGATGACATAGTCCTATTTTTCTGTACTGTTAGCCAGCTCTGCCCACCTATGCAATCCCTCCAAGGAAGGAGCAGACATGGAACAAATACAGGATTTGTGGATTTTTCTCTCTGCCATTCTCCCAGATTTCAAGTCCCAGCTCTGCATGGTAAGTCACAAGGCTCTTCAAGGCTTCATGCTGCAACCTAACCTCACTTATCAAACCAGGAAGACCATTCAGTCTAGCAGTGCCAGCTGAGGCTACCTTACCACTAGCTCTGGGCAGGAAAGAGACACAAGTCACATTGCATGGTTAGCAGTGCAGTTCTAACAGTTACATTTCTATTTCCCAGGACTCCCTTATGAGTACTACTCAGTGCCACACAACCATCTAGACACAGCAATAAACAACCTGCTAATCTCAGGAGCCCTCACCTACTGCTCTTTCTGATTAGAGAAGCCAGTTTTCTATTTCTGATCCCTGTACTTTACAGGGAGCTAGGGCCAGAGGCCACTTCAGAAGTTGCAAGCTCACAGCTAGCCAGATTAATCTAAGCTGCCTACAATGAGAACATGCATTTCTAGCCCAAGATATGAGGTAGGATAATGGCAGTAGGACTCCCCCAGATGAAAAGCTGCTGCAAGGAATAAAACACTGAAATTGCTTTCAAGTCATTACCAGCACATCACCAGTAAAGCCCCCTCTCACTTAACCTGCTCAGACAACAGGATGTAGCACCATTCCCAAAGCCAGCAGAGAAACCAAAGAGTTGGGTGGACCCCAGTATAAGACACAAGAGTCTCTCTGTATCACCTGGGATACCCTACAGAGGTGCTTCAGTGAGATCCAAATTTACGAGGACTGGGAACTGTAGAGCAAGCAAAGACACTTAACTGTCCCTTTGCAGATGGCAAGGCATGCTGGCCAGATCTGCCTTCCAAACTCGCTGGGCAACACACACAGAATCATCCAGCCATAACCCCAATAACCCTTGTGCCTGCCCTAAATACAGCAACACGCCACCAACACAATGCCTCTGGGCACTGCATTCAATGTGTCTTTCATTAAGCTGGACAAAAATATACAGAGGCTGGTTTGTAAGGGCTGATAAATGGTCTGGTACAGTCTTGATTCTGCTTGTGCCAAGAACTCTCTCATCCCTGACAAAGCAGTTACTGGGCCATCTCATCTTCTCTGTAAACCTCCCTAGGGAACACCAATACCAGATTTTGTATGGGCCCAGTGCTGGCTAATGCACAGCTCCAAACTTCAAGACCCAGTTGGTGTAACGTGAAGAACTTTTTTTTTTTTTCCTAAAAATCTTCCCAATGATTCAGTCTCTAGAGTGCAAACTTGCAATTGCACAGGGCTCCTCCTTGCACAGTGTGGAGGAAGAGCATAGTCACCAGGGCACAGGGGCAAACAAGGGACTTACTTGTAGGTTTTGGTTTTATCCAACCAGATGCCGGAGATCAGAGCTCCAGCCATCCCCGACAGTATAATGGTGAGTCCAATCCTGCCAGCATTCACCTCCTCCCCCTGTGGTGAGACACACACACTCACACAAGTGCAGGAGCTAACTCATATCCAACAAAAAGCAAAGTGCAGAAAACCCAGAGAGGAAGAGACACCAAAGTTAGTCTTCATACATGCTTTCTGCTGGTAACACACTAACCAGAACTAGCCTTTGCAGGAACACTTTTGGGCCCACTAAGAGCCAGTGCTTTCTGGGCCATGAAAAAAAAGTGGTCTGGCAATTATGTCTGAGCCAGCCCTGAGAAAAACTGGCCAGCGTGAGCAGATAATCTCAGAGGAGTTAGCATAAACCATGAAGCTTGCTGTTAGGATTTGGGCCAGATTGACCGGGAAATATTGGGACTCACTATAAGGCAGAACAGAAAGGAGCTCTGTGGCATGCAGCACCAGCAGTAAGCTGTACAATAGCTCAGATACAGAGGCACCCCACCCTTCTGCCACCCATGGCATGCCCATGAGTCTGGGCAGCCTCCTGGGACAGATGTCCCAGCAGAAATCACAGTCAGAAACAAGGAGTGGAAATTGCTGGAAGATTTTCTCAGAAGTAAATGCTTTCATTTAAGGTGCAAAGGAGGCATCTTTTCTAGAGCTCACCAGCTTTTACATGGGGTGGTGTAAAGGCAAAAAGGAACAGCCAACCTGTGTCAGACAACAGCAAGTACCAGAGAGGGCCATGAGGGGTGGATGCACTTACTGGGTAGTGATGGATCACCATGCGGTTCAGCAGAGTGGACAAGGCGTAGAAACAACCTACATTCAGACCTGAGAAGGGGATAAAAATGCAGCACATTCAGAGCCTGCTACTCTCCTGCTGGGTTGTGAAATGGTAAAAATACAGAGAGAGAAATCTTTGGGACCATCAGTCCACAACAAGGCTGCAGAGTCTCAGGAGAGTGAGACAGACTGGCTAGACACAGGATACTGAAAGAAATGCAGACCAACATCCAGGCCTCAACATGCAGAAGTAAAATTCCTACAGTTTCAGGATGGTTCCTACCTAAGCAGCTAGAAGAATGGCTGTGCACATTTCTGGTACTGAAAGGTCCTGCAACTCCTTCACGGAGTCTCAACCCTCTGAACAACCCTGTGAGCAGCCAGATTCATCTTTTAGCACTGCAGTTTTGTCCTCTGCTCCCAGCCAAGTCAGAAAACTAGAAAAGCATCTGCCTCAGCATCATACCTTGAACAAGGACCTGAGATTCAATTAACAACAGTGTCATTGACCTGTGTGTTTTCCTCCCAGAGAAGAGGCTGTCAGCATTCTCCCTGCTGACAGCCAGTAAGTAACACTCTCTCCAAGCCAAGAAATGCCAGAAGACAAGTAGGAGCAGAGATGATTGGTGAAGCACAGACAGCACTACCCTTAGGCACCTGGGGTGTGTGTCTGCATGGGAAAAGTCTTGCATTTTAAAACCTATCACTGAGGCCTGAAAAAAACCTGTGAAAGTAATTGCGTTTCTGAAAGAGAACTTACATTAGCTGTTACAAGGATGAACCACCTGGTGAAGGTTTCTCAGTATCACCCAAGGTGAGAATGAAACTGTTGGGGTGATACCGGTCAAGCCCTATTCAGACACTCTGCTGCATCTTACATGCAATTCTCGTTGGTTAAATGCATTCTCAAAAGGGCAGAAAACCTAACAGCTTTGTTCAGCAGGCAAGAACATACACATGTGCACTGGACCAGCAGTACTGCAACGGCTACACTCTCACCTTGGGTGATACTGAGAAACCTCCCCCAGGTTGAAGAGGTCTGTAACAGTCAGTATAACTTTCTTCTCAGAAAGTCATTTACATTTGCAGTTGGTTTCTCTTCAAGGCTTCAGTGATTCTGATGGGTGGAGGGAAAGGGACAGATTTTACCACTGCAGCTCACACGTCTATAGGCACCAAAAGAAGCCATGGTTTTAAAAAGTCTGGCACAGATGCCTGAAATCCTGACAAAACAGATAGATGTTAAGTTCCCTCTTCCTACTTTTCCTCTCTAAGCCTCAGCTAAAAGCAGAAATTAACAACACAGGATACAGAAGTGCAGTCTAGCAGGCAGAGCTTTGACAGAGGGAACAAAGCCCTGAGCTCTCCTAACCCTGAAGTCCCTTATCTCCCCTTAAGTACTCAGCAATCCTGCACCTAGCCCAGTCTTCCACTGGGCACTGGATACCTGCTGCAGAACACAGCACTATGAAGAGCCACAAGATTGGCAGCTGGAGGGTGCATCACACTTCCTTCACACACCATCTCTGACAACATTACCAGGCTGGACTGGACTCTGAGTGACCAGGTCTAAGGGAAGGTTAGAACTAGCACATGGCATGGGGGTTAGAACTAGTTGATCTTGAAGAGCCCTCCAAATGATTCTAAACCATTCTATGATTAAGCAAAGTTCACTCCACAGCTGTATGGCACAGACAACAGATGAAGACTCATGCAAGTGATCTCAAATACTGCCTGTGACAATGTTTCCCACTTCAAAATCCTCTGTCAGAAGGTTACAGGAGGGGCTAGCAAGTTGAGTGACATGCTCAATAGGCAGGAGAACAGACCCAATCCTTAACAAGAATTACTCAGGAAGACTGGAAACTCGAGCAGGGGCAGCAGCCAAGGATGGGGGAGAACAACTGGAGTTCTCACAGCAAGGAGGTGCCCTCCAGCCTTGAAAGTATCTCTTTGCAACTCTTGGCTATGGCAAAACAGCTAACACACCTTAAATGAACTTCATCCTATCTCCACCTCTGGAGCCCCCCGCTCACTAGGTGACACCACAAGCTGCAGTGCAAGGACACTGGAGTATGGCACATCAGCACAGTCCTTCTGCTTCTTCACTTCAAAGCTGGGCATAAACATTAACCACTCATTTGTGCACCTCAGTTTCTCACCCAGCCAAGAGGACAGCGTCCTTGTGAAGACAGCCAGATGCTCCTCTGGTAACTAATACTGTCAGAAAACCAGATTTACAGCAGCTCTGTGATCCTTGTGATTTCCAAGACAGGGAAGGGCCCCTGATCCCAAGCTGGACAGAAGGTAAGAGTTGGCAGCAACACTTGGCACCAGAGTCAGGTAAAACATTCTAAGAATCAAGACCATGTGTCAAATTTGCATATGTGAGGGTTGAGAAAAGTTGTGGGCATTTCATATGTCACAGTTACTCAGCTGAGAAGCTTCTCTGAGAATTACAGCTGTTTGAATGACCATAAAACAGGTAATGGTTGTTTCCAACAGGAAAGTGACCATTTGCCCACCCAGATAAGGGAAACCAGAACTAGTAGCTGGGAGCAGGACATCTGAATTCTTTAGCTAGTTACCATGGTTTGCTTGTAATGTAGAATAATGTTTTTGATACCCCAGTGTCTCCTCTATTTTATAGAGGCCAGAACAGGGAAGTTCATTGCCTACAGCTCCAAACAGAGCCTTTATTAAGCCTCAGACTAGAACCCAGGTCTCCCACAGGTAGGCAACCTATTACCTACATGCCAGACTCTCTCTTGTTCTCCCTTGTAATCCTCCCCAACAACGGTTACTTATGCAGCTCTCACTGCCCTGCCTCCTCCTCACTGCCCCATCACCATCAGCATTTAAGACTGCCTCATGACTCCCATTCTATTACCCCTTCCCAGAATTTCCCACCCTTTTCCTGCCTACTGCCTCCCACTAGCAACATGCTCTCCAACGCAAAGCCCAACCCCACAGACTTGGAATTCCTTAATGCCCATTCCATGTTATGCCTCCATTTTATGGAAGCAATGTTAGCAGCCTTGGGGAAAAGGTTTTCTGAGGACTTTCCTGAAAAACAGTTCACGAGCACCTGACACAGCAGCAGTGACACCACTGTTTCCAGCACTGCAAGTCTTGCCATAAGAAAGGAATCATTGGCTGCTGGTAATACCAAGACCTTAGAGGTCTACAGATGTGTTCAGACCTGTCATTGTGGAAGGATCCTCATTCTTTCTACAGCGAGGAGAGATGAACAAGCAGCAGGTTTGCCCCTCTCTCCCCATACATGCTATGCTAACACAAAAGCTGACAGGCTGCAGAAATCTTTGTGTTAGGTAGGCAGGATGACTCAGTTGCACTCATGTGGCTGCAGATGTCTTAAATCTCGGCCAACGTAACTTTTGACTTGAGTAGGAAAAACAACACCATTTTAAACCCAGACAAGCTAAAAAAAAGTTTCACAGCATAGTTCCCTCTCTGAGTAACAGTTATCATCTCAAGTCAAGCTGGAGATTGGCATGAGGCTGACACACAGAGGAACAGAAAAAATGCACAGACCAGCAGCAAGAGAAAATGAATTATGAGCCACTGAACAGATTTTCCACACTTTTTGTGACTGCCAGAAAAGAATTATCCCAGGAAGGTCAGATTCTAAACATGCTCTTTGTACTGAGAGCCCTCCTCTCTCCTCTAGGACTTGTTTATGCCTATTAGAGCAAATGCTTTCCCCTTTCTTTTTCCTGAAGGGTAAGTGTGAACTGAGCAGATGACACAATCCAACTTTAGACACAGTCTGCCTGACAGATTTTTCTGTCTTCACTTTCTGAGAGGGTATTATGTACTATGGGAAAAAAAAAAAGTCAAACCCAGCAGCTGTAATGCAATCCAGGAGAGTTTAAGAGCAATCTGAGAAAGGCATTTCTAGAAGTCTACTGCACTAAAAAGGAAGGGAACAGAGGTTACAACAACTCCAAAGACCATTAGCATCCTCAGCAAGTACAAAGCCACCATCTGACTCTCTCCAACCTGCCCACTCATCCACAAGGTCTTTCAAATACAATTGCTGGCAGGATGTGCAGAACTTTCAGCAATATTTAACTGTCCCCCGGAGAAGCTTCCATAGCAAGCTGGTAGGAAGACTGAGGACAAAACTACCCACAGACTAACTGGCTACAGTATACCCTATTATACAGCCCGGCATAGACCACAATGGCCTTTCTGCCAGTAAGAAAAACACTTTTCCATATGCCAACTCAGCATCAGGGAATAGATTCAGCACATCACACTGCCCTCAAACAAACAGACTGAGAATGCTGAAGAGAAGCAAGCAGCAAATTCAGCAGGCAAGGACAGATGACAAGATATTCTCCAGCCTTTCCTTCCAACTGCTTCACAGGGACCGCCTAGAAAGCTGACAGAGTCTGCACATCTGCATACTCCATATGACCTCTACAGAGATGCCTGGCAGCCATGTTCAAATCCTTGCCTTCGGAAATGACTTTCACTCAGTTCTATGACTTGCACTCAGACACTTCCATGTATTTCTTATGTAAGCACTTAGATTGGTTTGCTGCAATTAGCTAAATTACTAGGAAAAAAACCACCCAGATAAGGAAATCCCCTGAACAGCAAACAGTCAAAGACTGGGAGAACAGTTGTAGGGGCATATAATTTTCTGTGTGCTTGCCTTCCTTTTGTTCTTGCCTGCTGCATTCACTGGAAACCACTGCTGAAAAGTACTAGGCTATAAGAGCAGCACAGGGGAGCTATCTTTATGTTCCCCTAAAACAACTCAAGCCAGTTACTGCCCCTGCAGAGCACAGAGAGAAGGGAAGAAGCTGTGATTAACTGCACAAGAAGAAATGAGGCCAGACCTTACCATAAGTGACCATAAGCAGCAAAAAGTTGGCATTGCGGAGCAGGCGGAGGATTGATTGCACGTAGGAATACTCCACAGCTGGTCTTGACTGGATCAAGGCCTGAGCTCGGCTTGGAGGGTTTGGGGGCTTCGCTTTGAAGACTGAAACCAGACACAAAGTACACCTGTTTATAATGGTGCAGCTGAGGGGCCTGAGCACACACTGTACCATTTGAGGGATGGCAGAGGGGCTGCTAGAAGCAAGTGTACAAAACACACCATTTTCCTTAAGTTTTGATCTCCATGCATTAACGTATCCAGGAAGAGGAAAGAACAGCTCTCTTCCAGCAGTGGCTCCTGTCAGCTTCCCAAGGGAAACATCTTGCCTTCAATTAGATTTTTGTGTAGGCAGTGTCCAGCAGCACCAAAAGAGTTCTCAGGACTATTACCAGCCTTCGTTTCTAGAAGGATGACCATCCAGGCACAAAAGCTGGCTACAGTATACCCTATTATGGGTATACTCATATATAGGTATATATATATGTATAGTATATATAATATATATATTATACCTATATATAGGTATAAATCCTATGTGGATTTACAAATGACAAAGTGAAACTGGACAAGTCAGTTGACAAAGGTGGCTTTGTTTCTAGAAGGATGACCACCCAGGCACAAAAGCGTTATGTGGATTTACAAATGACAAAGTGAAACTGGACAAGTCAGTTGACAAAGGTGGCCTAGTGTTCTGCAGTGGCCAGTGCCCGGGAACAATAACCTTTGCCAAGTTTTATTTCAGGCCAAGCCATCTGCTGCCCCTTACTATCATGAAAGTAGCAGCCAGAAATCCCAGTCACAGGTGCTACTGCTGTGCTAGGTGCTAGACAGGCATTTTTGTACTTTGTCTGTTCCCTGCCCCACAGTATTTGAAGTCTACATCTGATTCAGCCATCAGCAACATGAACAAACTGGAAAAAGAAGCCTATCAAAAAAAATTGCATGGAATTCAGCAACTAAACTCAGCTCTCCAGTGAGCATGCCAATCTTTCATGCTAAAGATCTGGCTTCGACTTCATGTGTTATGGAATTGCACCACTTGTGTCCTGCTGCTGTCCTTCATGCTTTTTTCTCTCTACTCATAACTAGAAACAACTTGTTCCTGTGATGCCATATAATCTGCCTCTTTCTACTCTTAAGGGGTAGGCAAGTCCCAGACATAACGCAAGACCCAGCACCCTGTTTGTGTGTATGAGTATGGAAGATTTCTATTAGTTTTTTTAAGGACTTACTCATGCCTGGAATTTGTTATGCAAGCAATGGACAAAACTAACAATTTGGCAGGCTTGCTGACAACCTCCCTTTTACATGTGCTGTTCATCAAGGGTTTGAAGCAGCAAGATCTAGTATTGCATGAGCCTGTCAGCTGCATGGCAGGACACCTCCCCAGATGGCCTGCCCAGCCCATCTCCTGGCACACGGGCCCCTGTTACACACTGGCTGATCTCAGTCCCATCTGGTTTCACCTGCACACTCCCACCTCCTTACCTATGATGACCAGGATGAACAGGGCTGATGCCACACCTGCAATCATGAAGAACATGATGCTGATGTGGTAAGCCAGCTTCTCCACATCCTCCACATTAGGGATCAGAACTGGAGGGACCAGGAAGCCTGCAGCGATGCCAAGCTGAGGAGAGAGAAGGGATAAACAGAGGCATGACATGAAACCACAACAGTGCCACTACCCTACAGCTCAGTACAGGCTCAACTGAGCCTAATCCAATTTCACAACCAAGATTAAAATCTTCTTTACCACCCAACAATTAAAAGTCAGATACCCATTTCAAATAAGCCATAAGAGATGTTTCCCCACTGCCATTACAAATATCAGGATATTCAAGGCAAGGTTTTACACCACAATTTAGCAGAATGAATACCTGGCTTCACCAAAGTGGAGGTCTTGCCTGCCCTGACATTCCCCACAAATATATGTTCCTGTTCACACACACATCCCATTCCTTACCTTGCCCCTGCTCTAGAGCTGGCCTCACCATCTGGTAATCCAATTTTGCTCATTAAAAATAGCAAAAAATAAGACCATCAAAACCAACCACAATATTTGCTGTCTTAATGAGTTGAAGCAATTTATTTTCCAACCACATAAGTGCAAGGGCTGAGACACCTGACCACTCTACATAACTGAGATATTAATCTGGTTCAGCCACCTTTGATACAGTTTCAATGAGCAGCCTCGCAAGACAAGGCTCACCATACGACCACCAGGAGAACCTAGAAGAGCATCAAGGGTGAAAACAAAGAGTTGATGGCACATATCCTAGAGGTCAAGGTTGTTTTAGTAATGGAGCTTGGCAACTGTCCCTGGAAAAACTGTACCGAAAGCAAGGACTAAGGAAGACAGGTTCTGTGCAGCCCATAAACCTCATGGAAGCAAGTCAGCACAGAGCAGGAGACCCAAGAGCCCTGTAATCCAGGCATGATCTTGGACAACCTTTCCAGGCCGTGAGGTGTTTGTAAACCTTACTTAGGAAAGGGTGGGGGGCACATGCAAAACCTGATATATGAGACTCAATAGGACTATTCCCTCAAATGGAAAGGGGCAGTATTGAGAGTCTCTTCCTCAAAGGTTAACACCTCACTGGAAACTGACCTTTTGTCTTACCACTGTTTCATTCTTGGAAGAACTAAGCTGGATTCCTGTGCTAGGTATTTCTTGGCTTCCTTCTCTCTGCAATCACATGCTAGCCACATGAGCTGCTGCACAGCAGCAAACCAACAGGAGAGGAGAGACCCACGCTTTATTCTGACCTCTGACACAAGTTTCTCCAGGACCACAGTTGAGATTCAATCTTTTCCAGTCTCTCTCCAGCTGCTCAGTCCTGAAAAAGGATCTATCTGATATACCTAGCAGAGAAGTTATTGAGAGTCTGTGTTGCAAATTGTTTAGAAATCTTTTGCTGGGAGGTCCTACAGTCATCACTTACCCAATGGGTCACAGACTCACCCAGCTTTCTTGAACTACTTGCTGGCCTTTTCAGAAGGATTTTCCCAGACACCTTTTCTAACCATAAAGAAATGTTTTGTGTTTTCTCTTCTCCTCCCCCAAAACGAAGTAACTTTTATCCATTAGAAGTTCATTATATCTTTCATAAGAACCAGGCAGCAGAATAGACAAAAAAACCCACAGCAATAGGAGCTACATTTCATATTTCAGAGCGATTCATGCTATTAATTCCGTGAAGATAAGGTCCTTTGACTTGACTAAAACTGAAGATTTCCTGAACAACATTCACAGACCCTGGATCATTCATACCATTTTTAGCTCATGACTTACACTTTAGAGACTAGTAAATGACAGAAGGAATGTATTCCCTACCTGAATTTTGTGAAGGACCAGTCACAACAACAACATAATATTCAATATTCAAGTGTGCACATGAACAAGCAACAAAACCATGAACAAGTAGCTAAGAAGGTGGTATAAATGTACCCTAAGTCTTGAAATAGAAAATGACATCTCTAAGGTTAGCTGCTAAAAGTCTCCTGAAGGAAGATAACCAGTGGTGTATCAGCATAAAAATTGTAAATGAATGATCAATGGAGGAGTGCAGGAGTGGACCTCCACCTCAAAGAAAACTACGAGTCAGCAACAGGAACACAGAAGCCCTCTAAAATTCCATAAGTACGTATAAATGTTGACAGAGGGGACCACCAAATACAGAAGGTCAATTAAAGTGTTAAAAGACAGAGAAATGCTGCAAAAGCAAAAAAACACAACAGTTAGAAATTTTGACAATGCCCTTGCAAGCTAAATAAGTGTCATGACAGGGATGATGCAGAGACTGCATTTTTGGATTCCATAAATACCCTTTTCTGAGGAAAACTTGTAAGAGGCAGCACAATTTGTGATTTCAACCCTGAACAGCAGAGCATGACTATGATCAGTATTACAGAATGGTTCTGTACTGGACTAAAATTCAGCTGCCTTGCAGCAGTGACAAAAAAAGGAAACACCCTCCAAAACAGTACAGCAGTACATAACTCACAAGAGGATGGTGCCTAAAAGGAAAAAAGTGTGTTAAATGGAAATGAAGAAAAGCCTAAGAAATTAAATGCCTTCAAGTGGCACTAGGATTGTGCAAAGACTGAGTCAGAGGCTCACTGTAAGCCTAGAGAATATTAGTAAAGTATTTTAGAATAAAGGAACCACAATTTAGTAAAAAAAAAAAAAGACACAAAAAACTACAGAACAAACAAACAAAAACCCCCAAAAAACACCAAAGAAAACAACTAACCACCAACAAGAACATAAACCACCCAGTTCTAAAACTGGACATTATTCTTTCAAGCAAAGAAAAATGACAGCAAGCTGGACCAAGCTAAAGCAAAACCATAATTAGGCCAAAAGAGGCACCAGAACAGCTTTACAAACTAAGTCAAAACTCTTCAAACACAACAAAATCAGGAAACCTGATAGAAGGGTCTAAAGATGATCAGTGTGGAAGGAAGACATTCAAGAAAGAGGTCTTGGACCATCATTCATTACATGATGTGTTATAAGTAGAAGATATTACTCAATTTTTTAAAAGTAATTTCTTCTATGAGGCATCAGGACCAGCTGGTATTCATCTAGAAGTTCAAAAGAACAAGTCAACAGAAAATCCATACTACTTGCACAAAAGCATATCAAGCGGTCTGTTACCAAATATTCAAATTGGGAATGGAGGAAGAGAAAAGTGATGCTACTTTTTAGGAGGTTCAGCCTAAGCAGAAGTCCCAGGAAACCCAGAGACCAGCAACCAGCTGGTTTGGCCAAGTGGACAGAAAATGTAGCAATCAAAAGATCTATGCTTTGATAAACACCAATACAACAGGCTTTGCAGAAACCATTATTTCAATATGGTCTTAGCAAGTTCCCAAGCCAAGACGTTGGAGAGTGAGTAGGATACACTCCAGATTCCCTCTGGATTCACCCAGTGAAACTCTTTTGAGGAGATGCTTGTTCCAGAGCTCTGGGCAACACAGCATCCTCTTATACTCTTGTCTGGGTATCAAAGCTCTGTCCTTGGCCCTTCCTCCTTTTCTAACTACAGGTGCCCCTCAAACTGTAACCATGACATTTCACCAGAGCAGCTGAACCTTCTGACTCTATAATTCATATATCAGGAGCTGAAGAGAGCAGACAGCCGTCCCCTTCTCACACCCTGTGCCTCCCAACTGCACATTGGCTTCCCAATACTTTGCTGTCAGCATAGGTCCCAGCCACATAAAAGGCTACAGGAGAATTGAAAATGTCCAACTGAGGTGCTGTTTAAGCAGAAGCTGCCAGCTCCTACACAGTAAACTTCTGTATGGATCAGTGTCCAGAATATTCTTCCATACCAGTGACAGCAAAATTAGAAGAGCCTGTTGAAATCCAGATAGTCAGGAAGCCAATGTACATTTTTGCATAGTTTACGCAACTTACTTGCAGTGTGTTAAGAAAAAATAAGGAAGTACACAAGTTGTGGAAGGAAAAATTGTAATCAGCCTTGTGATAAGACAGGGCTTGAGCTCAATTTACTTTTTCGCTAATGTGGGAGATGCTTCCTTTCTCCAAACCCCACTTGCACAACCAAAGCTCATCTGCAAACAAAGCAAACTCCCTTCCACATTACACTTCTGCTTCTGTGGCATCATCTCATAATGCTTAACTCCCCTGCAGAACTTAATCCAAAGCCAACTTCTGTGAGAGAGAAAGGGGAACTGCCTTTGGTGTATGTCTGGGAAGGGAGCACCAGATGAAATGGGTAGAAAAAGTTCATCTCAGGCTCTCATGTCTATTTATAGAAATGGAGGCATTCCTGCAAAAGCCACACTGCTATTTGGTCAGCACACCCTCCCACACTGAGCCACATCGAGGATCTTGGAGAGTTAGCCACACAGCACTCCTTGAGATCCAAGTGCTCTGATCCACCCTGCCCTTTTTTTGTCAGGGAGAGAAAGGAGACAGGGCTGGAGAATGTTATCCATTAACTACTGTCACTACAAGCAACTATGCCAACATTAACTACTGCCACTAAAATCTTCTCTATTCTGACAGCTTAAGCTCTGAGAGATACAGGGCCAAGCTGTGAGACAGATCACCACCTGTCCATTTTTCTAACAGGGAATCATTTGAAGGATGGGAATCCTCCAGCAGAGACAGAGCAGGCAAAGCAGATCTATAAGTCCACTCAAAGACTGGAAGACAGGGACTCCACAGGACATGATACATTTCCAAAATGCTTCTTAGACTTTAAGATGCTGCCTTCCCTGAAGGGCATACGGTACAGAACAGAGTTCTAAGAGTTATCAGGGAGGCATCAAACAGCACAAGCTCAGCACAAACAGCACTGTAGGATCACCAGCTCAAAAGCAATGGCCATTCAGATGTTGCAGACCCAATTATATGGCAAAACCCACCTCAGCCACTACCCCAGGCAGACTCTTTTCCCCCAATTCAAAACAGATGAAAGGAACCACCAGGAGTAGGAGAGAGAACATTTCCCGGAATTTCATTCACAGCTTATCACCAGGTTTGCCCATTTCAAAAGCCATCACCTAATCACTTCAAGACTGGCACACCCAGCAGGCTGCAGAAACCACCTAAAACTTCTGCCTCCGGCTGTTTCTATTATGGAAGCCCTAAATCTCTAAAGTCACATCTCAGTTGCATCAGAACAGGGACAGATCCTAAGATCAGTAAGGTGCTGAATGATTTTTTCCCTAAAGTAGAGCTTAATATAAGGCTGAAGTTTTCTTTCCTCCCAAATCACATCACTTTTTTTCAAAGCCCTGCTTAAAAAAAAAAGGCAAAATTACTGCAAAAAGATAAGTTAATGGGCCCACATCCTTACTCACAAGCCTATCAGTGCCTTGTTTCTTTGTCAAAACATCTGACAGGCAAACTTCATTCTATACTTCCCCACACATGAGCTTCCATAATAAGGAAAAATAATGGAAAAACATCTATCTATCTTCCTGTTAAAACATGGAAAAGTAAAATGTCATGAAAACCAGCAGTGGGTAAACAAGAGAACGTGATCACATCCACAGGTGTTCACACTCTTCTAGACGCTCTCCAGCACTGATTCAAGAGTGCTCAATCTAACCTGTTTTTGCACTTCAGATATCATAGCTAACATATGGCTAGAAACAAGTGAGGTGATTCTAATACCTTACTAGGGACTGTTTTTTTAAAGGGCATTTAACACCTACTCTGATTGATTCAATCATTTACTCTTCAGGGCTAACTTTGAACTTGAAGGTTACCATCAGTCAGCAAGCAGAGGCAGTGTCCTGAGCAAACATGGCCCTGGCAGACTGAGGAAACAGCCAGCAGACAGGGCTTCCCTCAGGACAGCACTGCTGAAGCAAAGCCTGGGGCCAAGAAAGCAAGAGCAGAAAGGGCTGGTATAGCAAATAAAGAAACAGTGACACTTCTCTGCTTCTTCATGCAGTTGCTTGCAATTCTTAATGGAGATGGACAATAGTGCTTGGTATTCAATAATATAAATAATTAAACAAAGTGACATGGCAAGGAAAGGAAAACCATACAGTTGTAGAGAAACGAGCATAGGGAATAATTTACCATACTGCAATTACAAAACCACTGTACTATACCCTTTGCTAACACTCCCTAACACAGTCTTTTACTACAGTCAAGAAAAACGTATGCCTCTATTTCTTCCCCCGCCCAAGCTCACCAGCAAACAAAATAGCTAGTTTTCATTCACTGGGATTATGCCTGACTATGGGAATAAATAGGTCTTTCCTATGGAGTATGCTCTGTCTTTAGTCACTACCATTTCTGACTTCTCTGATTCTCTAAAAGGAAAGCCTGGGCTTACAAAGCAAAGTCTATGTACTGAACTGAGGTCTCATTGTCATGTCAGTGCAACCGCCAGAGCAGCGTGGAGCACCAAAGGGGTAGCTAAAGTTTGCTTTTCACAACCATTACACTAAACCACTCCTTTTGGGATGCTGATGACTCCACACAGCACAAGCAGACAGCCTCACTGTTTGGATTTCTAATGAACACTGTTGAGTAACTCCACCCGAATAATTTTTTTTAAGTCTGACAGCAAAATACTCAGTTACTTATTTGTTCATGCCAAGTTAGATGCCTTCCACTCTAAAGATTAATTTAAAAACATGTGAAAACCAGCCCCCTAGAAGGGATGATGAAAGCAAAAAGGAAAGCTTAGGTGCACTCAAGTAAAGATAAGTATGTTTTCTCTTTCCTAAAGATGTAAGGCAGTCCCCTTAATTCCCTAGTGCTGTTCTGCAAACTTCTGTTCCTCAAACACCATGTCCAAGCATTCACCTCTTTTTACCTCAGCAGTATGTAAATAAATACAGAAACACAGGAAGAAGCAGTCTGCATTAGGGGTTACCTGAGTTGGAACCATTGAAATCAGAATGGCAGTGACTCACAGGCTGAACGTGAGTGGGTGGAGCACAGAGTCCCATGCAGGGGAGTACACTGCATCTCAAAGCAAGGGGCACAGGCCCAGCAGCCAATGCCACGTTCCACTTTCCTCTTCTTTGGGTCAGGGCTGCAGAGCCAGGCTCACTTCACTCATGCCTCACTGCATCAGTATTGGCTTATTCACTTCATTCAACTGAATGAGCAGGCGTTCCGGTCCAAGGGTCAAGAAGATATTTCCCCGATCCTTACAAAGCTGTGTAAAAAATTATCTCCTCTGCTACAAGAAAAGACACAGCTTGAGCAAGTGTGGGTCACTGGCCTCAGACACCTGTATTGATAAGGAGTGCTTGGGGAGCTGATCTCACACTAGCATGATGGACCTTTTCTTTTTCTCAAAGCAACTGCTTGTGGAAACACTGCACCTACTCTTAAGAGGTACGGAAGTGCTAAAGTCCTTTTCCTCCAGAGCCCAATGACAATGCTTTCAGCAGACAGCTAATCTCCTTTGTCCCATCTAGTTGTCAGCAGGAAGAAGATATTGCAGTGTCAAGTCCAGATGCAACTGCAGATTTGAAAGACACTGCCTGAAGCAGTTTCTCAGCACTGTGCCTTCTCCCCCAGGCCATTCATAAATCTACTGAATTACAGCCCTGGAGACTCACACACACAGGAAGCGGAGGGCACTGGAGAAGAGCCTCAGCCAAAGACCTCTCCAAGCCAGAATCACACCTAATCCCCATGCTGCCCCGAACTTTATAGATGGAGGTCCCATTTGCCTCTGCCACCACCATCAGCTCTTAGGCTAACACCAGTGGCACCCTTCCAAAAACCAGATGCATTTTCCAGAGGGAATTTCATGTAAGTTAGTGTTACCCCTGTGGCTGCCCTTCAGGCCCTGTGCATCTCTTACCCCTCCCTGGTTTGCTCCCTTCGCACTTCCAGTGTCCAGCCGAGCAGGTGACAGCCCGCCCCACAAGCACAGCCAGCCGGGGTGCAGCTGCCCATTACCTGGTTCCCAAAGACAGCAATGGAGCAGGCGGTGGAGACCTCCTGGGAGCCAAACCAGACGGAGGCGATGCGTGAGGGCATGCCCAGGATGAAGACCTGGGCCAGGCCACAGATGACCTGTCCCAGGACAGTGACGGGGAAGAGGTGCGGCTTCAGGCTGCCCAGCTTCACCCAGGCACCCACGGCATTGAGGGCCGAGCCAGCCAGGGCGATGAGGCGCAGGCCCCTCTTGTCCAGCAGCCAGGCGACAGGGAAGAGCAGGGGGATGTAGATGAGCATGTAGCTCATGGAAAGCCAGTCGATGGCAAAGGCGCTCACGCCGTAGAAGCGCACGAAGACGTTGCTGATGCTGCCGTACTGGATCCACTGGAAGGCGTTGCACAGGGAGTAGCTGCAGAAGAGCAGCAGCACGGCCCAGCGACGCCGGGACAGCTGTACCTCGGCGGCGGCATCACCGACCCCTGCCGCCGCAGTCGACAGATTCGGCGCCCCGGCGGGCTCCTGCAACACCATGCCGGCACCGGGAGCCGCAGCCGGCCCGGCCCGGCCTGGCTCGGTTCGTTTTGGGTCAGGTCGGGTCGGGTCCCTACCGGCACCACCTGCCCAAAACACCCCGCCCGGCCGCCCCTGCCGCGCTCACTGGCGGCCGCCACACGAGGAGGTTCCCCCGGCCCGGCCCGGCCCGCCCTCCGCCCCGCCCCGCCGCGAGGCCGGGGAGGGCCCGGG